TGGTTGTTGCAAGGAAGTATTATAGACAATGGCTATAAATACACAGCTTTATTTAGTCCAGCTTGTACACTTCTATACTACTCTCTTCTATACTCAGTCTTAAAGTGCAGTAAAATACTTCATCAAATACTAGTTTGAAATAAGTTACATCTAAACTCTATCTGATGGCAGTCATTTTTTAAGCAAATATCTGCTGATATCTGCATCCATAATTTATAGACAAATTTCTTACAGTGGTTGAGGAACAGTGATCTTAATGTCAGTAAAAATCTTGCTGACAGCTTCGCTGATTACGACCCAGTTGTGTAAATAATCAGAGGATGCTGCTGGATAATTAGCTGACTCTTAGCTGCCTCTTTTTTCTGATTCACTTGTTTTCACTCAGCCATCAAATCCCTAGCCCTAGCACCATGAATAAGTCATACCAGTGTAACCAGCGTAGTTTTGGCCCTTTTTCCACATCCCTAGTCATCCTCCGCACAAGATATTCTAATACTGTTTATTATAGAGGTAATGCAGCAAAATAAGGAAGCGCATTGCATATAAATAACAGCATGCGCTCAAAGCACTCATTATCAGATTATGTCAGATTCTTTTTCTTACTGTAAGAGAGCTCAGGAGGAGAACTTAAAGTATGCATTATGAATATTCAAATTGCCAGCTCTTCATTGCTGATCACAAAGCAAAATTTTATTCAATTAGTTTTTGTCACATAATCAAGTTTTATCAAGTAATTGTGACGTCCTGCAGGAATATACTCTAATATGCTTTCCACTCAACAGTATATTAAAAACAGCCCATCAAAAGTGTATAGCTTCTGAGCCGCCGACTGAGTATCAGTCACGTATTGATGTATTGTTTCACCTCTTGAAGCTCAGTCGGGGTTAAAGTGCAGCCGTCTTTGTCAGCACGTTTTTAACGTGTGGACAACAGATGAAATGCCACCTGTTTATCTTGAGTGCTTCCTCCAGCACATAGACTTGCTGATGCTCTCAGCTGGCATCATAGTGATTCTAATCTGGCCTCTGACCAGAAGTATTTGTTGGATTATATGAGGGAGAGGTCAAAGGATTTGTAGAGCAGTGGCTTTCCTTACAGTAAGACCAGCATGAAAATGTTGGGCAGATCATGAGAAGCAGAATGGTGGGGAGTTGTTATCCATGGATTGAATATTTCTTGAGCTCTTAGACTGCACAGTGGAGCTGTTTAAGCTGATAGAAGTGTTATATGCCTTTTGTTTTGTTATATGCCTTGTACAAGCTGTGTGTAAAATATATAGACCTTGATACAGTGTCATGTATTATGTGTATGTTTGTAGCGTATGTGTGATGAGGATTTAGTGTGCTGATTTACCCATTATCTAGAAATTGAAAAAAAGTCTAAATATATGATATTTAATACATGGCAGTGTATTATTGGTCTGTCAAAAGATGATTCAAGTGTGCAGAGCAATATATTGTGATAATATGATGTGGTATTACTGAGGTGATTGCATAGTAAAGTTGCCAGAGAGTAGATTGTCATCTCTGTTTATGGCCCAACAAAGTGTGACCACTTTAAAAATAAGTGAGCTTCCTGATATGCAAAGACCTTTTCACCTGCAGCCACATAACTCTCTGGTTGCATGGCAGTTAAACAGTGGTAATAGGTATGCTTTCATGTTCAAATCTAGACACAAGAGTTAATCCATAAGTACATTGTTTATAATGTATATTTATTTCTGTAGAAGTATTAAGAGAATTGGACAACTGCTTTCTCTACTCCTAGATAAACAGTGTCAGTAATCTCACATAGAGCTGTTCTCATTTTAACATTAATGTTTTGAGGCAAAACCCATTTCCCTCTGTACTTCTTACTCCCACTGTGACCCACACACTAAATCAAAACCATTACAATGTTGAGGAACCAAATAAGGAGTTAAAGCTGTGTCAAAACTTTCTCTGAGAGAAAGTTGTGTTGTTGAGGACAGAGAAAAGAGACAGGTGGTGATAGAGGTGGTGGTAGAAAGTAGAGGTTCCATAAAGCCATGCTGTCTTGTTGAGACCACCCAAGCTGTTAAACTGAACTAGAATATTTACTGCTTCTCAAAATTTGCTGCTACGTTTGCAGGGCACTACATACATATTTGTATTTAGTTTTAGTAACAAGTATAGAAGCAAAAATAAATTACAAAGCTGAGTCCAACAAGGATACTTGGGACAGTATGTGAAACGCCAGTAAAAGCAGAGAGCAGTGATTTAGTAAATTCATTTATGTTCAAGCTATCCATGCCATTGCCTGCAAACACACCTATACCATAACGGACCTTGGCTTTCGAACATTTTGGATGGTTTTTGTCCTCTTGGGCCAAGGAAGCAAAAGGTCCTATAGGCAATCTGCAAGGTGGACTGGTCAGACCACAGTACACATTTCCACTGTGCATCAGTCCATTTCAGATGAGCTCAAGCCCAGAGAATTTGGCTGCGTTACTAGACCTTGTTGACATATGGCTTCCACTTTTCACTATATGGTCTGAACTTGTGAGTAGTTGTGATAAACAGTGTCTATTCACAAAGGTTTGTGAAAGTATTCTCTCAATCATGGGAGCATGTTGGTTTTTATGCATTACCATCTGGCGAGCCTTATACTTGCTCACAAAGGGCCTGGCCATTCCTGGATGCTTCTTTTATACCCAAGCATGATTTCATCACCTTTTTAAAATTATTCCTAAAATTGTTCAAATTTAACAGTGTTCCTAGTTTTATATTTGCTGTGCAGCGTCACTCAAGCGGCCAGCCTGGGCAGCCATGTAGTTGCAGTGCTGCGGCGCTCAAGCCCAAGAAGCCTTTGAGCCATGAGGGAAAGTCACTCTTGACTGCGGTTAAGTCTGGTCTTGGACCACATTGCAGTGCCATATGGGCTTAGTGCAAATTCTGGGCTTAGAGATTAAGCCTAATTCTAGACTACACAGCATTCTGAATGTAGATTCCTAAATGAAAAGAAAATGTAGTCCTGAACTAATCTTAATCCCTGTCCCAGGAAACTGACCTTACGAGATTTTGCTGTTTGGGTTCAAGAAGTGTGACGATTGAGAACAATTATATCTGTTCGTAAAGCACTGTTTAACCAAAGCTATTGAAATACAACATTAAAGTGTAAAATTGGTTTCGTATCAGCCTCAAAATTTTCGTATTCGCCAGGCCCTGTTTGTTACTACACAGTTTATGCACACTGGTTGTTGATGTTGTTTATAGTCTTTTGAGATTATGGCCTAAAAATCCAGTTGTGGAGCAGAAGTGTTCTTTTTTTTACTGTTTAAGCCAAGTCAAATAACGCATGCTTACCTCGTCATTCTGTGGTCCAATAAATGTCTCTGATGCATGCAGTTTGCAGCTGTCACTACAGCTGAATGAAACTGAAAGTACGACGAGAACATGAGTGTTATGGTTGTGGCATATAAATGTGACTTAATCACTGCTTGAAAAAGCCCAGTTATTATTGTCAGTGACATTGCTTTAGGGCTTTATGCCTGTGCCTTGTAAACAACATTAGAACGTTGACACAAAATTACTTTATTACTGTCAGTAATTTGTGTATAAACAGAATCATCTGACCAAAGTGTTTCTCTCACGCAGGTTCAAGTTTCTCTGTTGACAGATTGATTATAAACATCGGCACACAGGCATTCAAGCATCCCAACAGTAAAGATTGTTTGTGTTATTATTTATATAATGTTAGGATGTTGTTAGCATTTAACATAGTCTGTTTACACTTTGCTGGAAGTTCTGTCTCTACGTTAGGCTTATTTAAAGCATCATAGGTCGTAGGAATAAGGAGGATAGTTGATCTAAATCTGTAATTTTTGTTGATGTAGTTGTTTGGAGTTCCATAAGTACTGATGATGCCTACAATGCATTCAGAACTCGTTCAGTAATTCATCACATTGTCTAGGTCTATTGGTACTTGCACTGCATGACCTTATGTGTGATATCAGAGTCTTACTTGCCATGTACAGTGTCTACACTAATACCCAGGGCTCTGTAATCTAGGTCACAGCCTAGAGAAATTCCTTAAACAAGTTTCTCACCCAAATGATTCCACTTTGCTGCATAATGTTGGCTGTATCTCTGTCTGGTATCTGGTGTTAGCTTCTTTAAGAACCTTTCAGACATGTCTGATGTGTCTATTTAGGTATTTGCTCATGAGCTTGTCCAGAGTCCCATGCATAACTTTAGTACACTTTATCTCCACCAGAGCCAGAACTGAAAGAGTGGCCTGCATTACTGAAGGTACTGGTGATGTCAGCTAAGGTGGTCATGTATGGCTTACACTTGCTTGTGTTTATGAATGATGGAGCCCAACACATTGTTTTTCATGAAGATTGTCTTATGGATAGATAAAAACTGCTTGTCTCAATTATGGTCTTTATTAGGTTTAAGCCTTGGTAATGTCAGCATTGCAGAGTAAAGGTAGATGGGTAAACGTATGAATGTCCTCTTTACTTTGACCTTGCGGTGGAGAGACAGACACTAAGGCTGCATTCACATTACAAGCCTTAATGCTCAATTTAGATTTTTGCTCAGTGTGAAGCTTTTGCTTTGACACTTCACGTTCATGGCGGTAAGTGACCTGTGTCTGTCAACAGTGTGAACAGCATGCACACTTTTTATTGTCTGGTTGTCATCACATTTTAACATATTATTATTCTTTCATCACTTTCGTTCACTTCATTTTCCACTTTATCCAGTCATAGTTGATAAGCCAAAACATCAATTTGGTATCCAAATTTTGCTTTTTTTTATAGTTTAGTGCTGAAATGAAGAGGCTGTTACTATCAAAGCTGCAGTTAAGATGCAAATGCATCTAGTAAACTTTCAAAGGCAGAAAGCCTACAGCTGATGGTAGCCTGGGATAGAGAGCATGCCACTTCTCATTAGGGACGCTTCATCTATCCATGAATGGGACACCCTGTTTATATTGTAATCAATAACCTTTATTCTTTTCTTTTGTTTTTTTCCCAGATTTTGAGATGAAGAAGGACATTGACACAATAATAGCTGAAGAACGGGCTGAAATCATCTCAAAATATGACAAGGTTAGTCACATTTCATCATGAAGTTATGTGTTCTAGCATTAGCCATGTTGGACTGCAGCCATTGTAAACTGTTCCCTTTAAACAGGATTTTATTAAAGCCCCACTCAAACACTACAGCAACTGGTCTGTGAGTTCGGACCATGCCTTCAACATGTAGTGGTAGTATAGCCTGACTGAGGGAGGGGGACTCTGAGAACTTGGGCTGGAGTTCTGGGCAGCTTCCTCTGTAGTTAGAAGGCCAGACCCCCCTCAGAGCTGTGGTCGGACTGACGTAGGACTGACATAGGACTGAGGAACAGGGGAGAGATGGGGTGGCGGGTGGGGATTGCGAATACTTGGTCACAGGAATGGAAGGTGAGGATATGAATGTATAGGGCGTTAAGATTGGAAGAAGGAGGGGTTTCAGGCCTGTTCCTCCCCCCAAGCTTCAGTTATAACATAACTACATTAGGTTTTGAGTATTACAGTATATGGGTGTTTAAATAATGAGCAATAATAAAGCAGTCATTAAAATAGGCAACACATGTTCGCCATGCCTATGCTGGAGTGGTTAACATGCTGCTTCAGCAGTTCCTGCTTGGGGCTTTAACATCAATAGTCCACTGAGCAAAATGCATTCCTGAACTTTGTGTTGTGAATGTTGTAACCAGAAAGCGCTCCTACATCTGTTGGCCAGAAAGTGGTCTGTCTTCGTCAAAGCTTGTGGAAATGGTACATGGGCCAGTGGTTTTGGGGCCTAGTTGGTTAGTAGAATGATGTGCTGGACAAAATCTCTGTTGGAGAGCCGTTTTGAAGAAAACAATGTAAAGAATGCTGCTTTGGCTGCATCTAGACAATGGATCAGAGTATCGTTAACTCATTAGGAATAAGCAATGCCTTGGTAATCACTTCAGCAGCTCTTTGCCCTGGGGCTAAGGAACTGTGCTGGTAAAAGCACCTTTTCACTGATCTGCACTTAGTTTTGTGGTGTGTCATATTTGATTAAAGTCAGGAGGTGGATGGGGAAACTGAGGCTGGATTAGAGTAAACAGTTATTGGCTTCTTCTGCCCAGAGATGGAGGGGGAGTGATGAAGGCTTGCTGTGATGGAGCACAGCTGTGTGTCAGACTGTATCTACACTCACATTTGGCAGCCGTTGATTGCAGTCAGGGAAGTACAAAGTCAAAATGAAAGGAAGCAAAACGGGCTACATGAAAGCTTACAGTTCTGTCTTTTTGGTATCTCCTTTATTCATTCCTGTTTGATGCAGGGTATCAGATAATTCTTTAACTGATATGAAATGCAAAGTGTTTCTGGTTAACAACAGAGCTGCAGGGCATGGACAAAATCCTAGAATTGTGATCATGTTGCAATATATTGAAAAAAGCATTGATCAGTGAATAATGTGACATGGTTAAAGATTGACCTGCATAATTCTGACCAAAATGTACTTTTGTTAGGTTACCTGAATACTTCAGTTCCTCAGAAAAGCATCAGAAAAACTCATCTTGAACTACGAATGGTCAAGATGCTGTAAAAAACATTGTAATTGTTTAGAGGGCTCATTTGCTCAGTGCAGCATTGTGCAATATCAGTATCGCAGAGGCCAGCTGATCAACAGAAAGTGTATTGTGTAATAAAGTTGCAGCAAATAAGACCCCCACATTCCACGTCTTCCAAGTATAGTACAACGTGTCGTTTCCAGTGCATATTTTGTGTGTTCTTTGCTCTTGTTCATTTCCCCTGAAGTATTTTTTGAATGGTTACAGGGCAGAACAGAGGGCGTGCACATTAACCCTTGGGAGGATGCCAACTACAGCCTCTATAAGGTCACAGACCGTTTTGGCTTCCTGCAGTAAGTCATGCAGCTTTCTTTGCTCTCTAGCAGCCATAGTCAGGCAGATTTATTGTATAAGCTTTGGGATAATGTTACTGAGAAGAAAGCAGGAGTGGAGATGAGCCATTAATCACTGATAAAATGTCTTGTAGTTGGCACGCACCCATTTTGATCCAGATTGTCTGTGTTGTCTTAAGTCTTTGGAACATTTTTTGTGGGATTCACATAACCGTGACCTTAAATTCCCCCAGCTAAGGAAGGGTGTAGATTTGGTTCCTTTTGATACTGATCCTAGAAACATTATCAAAGATATAGCTAGTAATAAAGCTATAGTTGGCCTTTTGTGTGTAGTTTTATAACTGTTTCTTTTGTCTGCCCAGCGAGGAGGAGTTGCCCACCCCAAGTGCAGTGGAGGAGAAGGTCAGCTCAACTGCCCTTCACATCGTACATACATAAATACACATACACACATCATAGATACGCATTTAACGTAAAAGCATATAGTGTACACCCATGGAAGAAAAAAACTCAAAGGCATGCATGCACTACAGTATATTTTATAACCTTACAGAAATTACATTAAAAAGAACATCAAAAAATGGACACACAACATGAAAAACTGATGCACATGTGAAGTATGTAAACACTGTTAAACTTTCAAAAATGTATTTTTCACTTCATAATGTAACTTAAAAAACAACCTGTTTTTTTTGTGATGAAAGCCAGCATATGTACATACTATATATTCTACTATTCAGCTTACAGCAGTTTAGCCCAGCTTATTCACAATAAATTTATAAGTAGTGCTCCAGCCCACAATACTTTTTGAATTAGGTACAGTGCAGTTTAGCCTGTTTTTTAACAATTTTTTTTAAACATGTATCCATCACAAAGACACCGTTGCAAAAACAGCCTGCTTAATTCTAATGGATGAAGAGAGGTTGGAAAAATGGTCATGTGAAAATGAATTGTGAATTGCTTTTTGTGGTATGTGGTAAACCCACATAAATGTTGTAAGTGGACAAAATAAGAAACAAGAAAAGGTGTAGGCTTTAGCCCCTATTAATGCACTACATAAACTTTATACCACTGGTGAACCTAAAAGAGTGTATAGAACATGATCAGTTTGTAATTAGTTCATCATCCCTTAATTCATACTTGCCATTCTTATTTTTTGCTTACAGCATAAACTTCAGGAGATTGAAAGGGTGAATAAGTGGCTTAAGATGGTGAAAAAATGGGAGAAGTACAAGAACAGTGACAAGGTAATGACAAGCTCTGCTATATGAACAGTGTTGCAGTGACCATGGGCACAGACAATAGATCCCAATCCAGCATTTCCTCATCCTGTGTGTGTTTGTGTGGTACAGATGATGAAGCGTGTGTATAAGGGGATCCCCCTGCAGCTGCGGGGTCAGGCTTGGGCTCTTCTGCTAGATCTGGAGGAGGTGAAGAAGCAGAATGAGGGGAAGTATGAGGTAAGACAATGGGTTAGGATACATGTTTGGGTTAAAAAATAAAGGCAGGAATGATGATTGATGCAGCCGGACATACTTGAGGTTTGTTTTTTTGTCCTTATGTACTTATGTCTTGTTTTGTCCATTTGTTTTGTGCATTAGCCAAAAAACTAGCTGTTTTATTGAAGGGCGGGAGTTTCCCTGTAAAAAATTGCCATATTGAGCGTTACGAGCTTTCCCATTCGTTTTTCAACTAATAAACTGTCTCCTCCTCTTTTATAATGTCTCTGATTAGGCAGAGCCTCCTCCTAATGTCTCTGTTGATTAACAGTAGTAACTAGGGATGTGCTTTACAACTATTTTTGATATTTGAATATCCTAAATAAACAGATAATTTGTATAAACACAAAAGATAATAAACAGATAATTTGTATAAACACAAAAGAGAAAAATGGTTGAAATTAATGTGGGACTGTAGGCTTACCTTTTTAACTGATAGCACTGGTGTACAAAAAAAATTGCAGCAGGCAGAGGAATACATTTGAAAACGCTTCATTATTCAAAAAATAGCTGAGGGAAAATCGTTAGGTTTTCCTGGTTTGAATTTGAAGACTGCCTGAGATGAACTATTGATGTGGCTACATATTTGTTTGTCAGAGAAATAGATTTTCACTGTTTTTTATTTCCTAGATAACATCAGATACAGTAACATATTTAGACATGTTTAGAGATAAAGCTGTACTATCTCTCAGTCACATCCTTAACAGCCATTTGTGGTAAAGCGCTCATGTTAATTTCAGAGCAAGAAAGTTTAGTTATAATAATATAAATACTTTGTTGCAAATATGAGCAACCTCACTACATTTTACAGTCATGTTAAAACATAAATTCAGTGAAACACCAATTTTCCTGTGATGAAACTTAACAAATAGCGGAATAGTGATTTCACTATTAGAATACCGGCACCTTGAAAGGTTAATGGAGTACTCAGGTACCCACGTGCATCTCTAGTATCAGCCACGGTAATTTGAATGACCGGTAGAATTTTTTTTCTGTGTTTTTTTTTTTCCATGATTACAATCATAATAATGCTTGACTTTTTTCATCTGCTTCAGGAAATGAAGCAACAAGCCAGGATCAAATCAAGTGAGATCAAACAGATAGACCTGGATATCAACAGGACCTTTAGAAACCATATAATGTTCATGGAGCGATTTGGGGTCAAGTAAGTTAATGGACATACTAACTCCCCTCCCACACACACAAATGCACGCATATGCAGAGAAGTGCATATGCATTTTCTGGGCTAATTATTATTGTTATTCAACAACAGGCATACAAATAATATTTTAATCATGTTTGAATTTGCTGTAAGTGAATATTCTATTGGTCTTTGGTTTACACAAGTCTAACGCTCTGCTCATATTGAGAAGTGTCTTCCTTGGAAGCTCTGCAAAAAAAACATTCCAAAGCATTCCAAATGTTATGTCTCACTTCTCCAGAAAGCCAGAGCTGCTTCTCTCTTTGTTTACATTAGTCTGGAGTTCTTTTTGCCATTGTATCTTGGCTCCACGGCCTCTTGCCTTCAGGTGCATGTGAAGTGAACAGTGCGGACCTTGTTAAGGCCTAACCAAAACAAGAGCCACTTCCTCTGTCTCACCGCCTTTTTTTTCTTTGGTTCGACTTCCTGAAAGTCAGTGAGGTCTTACAGGAAGTGACAGCCCCACGACTCACTGCCATTATGCCCAGAATAAACACTCTTGTTTTCATCCTGAACAAATGAAAACCTGCCGTTGTGGGGAAACCCATTTCCAGCCAGTTCCCTACTTCATTGGAGGAATGAAGGCATATTTACCAGGATTAAACTTCTCTTTGAATGGAAGTGTACAGATTAGGACTTTAGAGCAATGTTTATGTCAGGAATGTACATTTTGCTTTCTGATTAATTCATGTTCACACCTTCGTGAAGGCACTAGACGGGTCCTTATGGTGTAATGACTAATAGCAGAATATGTCCCGTGGGTTGGTTTTGATGTTCATGTGCTGGTTATTTCCACATGTCCAAACTGAAACTTCGTCACATTTAGTGGTCTGCGCTCATAGGGCTGGAGGACATGACAGAGTTTCACACTTGTGTGTGTGTGTGGTTTTGTTGGGTTGCACAAATTGGAGGAAGTTCAAGGAGATTACATCAGCGCAGCAGCTCACTGCTGCCACACTTCAGCAAAAAAGAGCTACCTCATCTGCCTGTCTACCTCATTTACACCTGCCTGACTATAGGACCAGAGTACAAATCTGTTGACTTGTCTGTTGTTTTCCCTGTGAGCTCCCAAGCAACAGAAAGATCATTTCTTTGCTTTGGCCTGTGTTCAGCTCCATCCTGCCCACAATATTTATTATTAATACAGCTTTCACATTTGGATGTCATAGTTTATGCATGAATAATCCTCTGCTGTTGCTGGGTTAGTTTCTTCCTCGTTTTTGAACTAATGTCTGTGTGTGTGTGTACGATAAAATTATCTCCTTAGTTGTCATGGTGTTATCAGAGCCCAAGCCATTCTCATGAAATTCAGACATATGTTGAAAAAAAGCACTTAGTAATTGTTTTAGTAGTAGTTAGTAATTGTTTTAACCATTTATTATTCTTTTCACAGACAGAAAGCCTTGTTCGATGTGCTGACGGCCTACTCTGTCTACAACGAGGTGAGTGTGTCTGTGTGTACGTGTACTTGTGTATACAGTGCTGTGCAAAATTAAGAGACCATTCCTCATTTATTTGATTTCCAGACTAATTTACATATTTAACCCCAATAAATGGCCAGGGCCCACCAGCAGCCCCAAAGTTTAATTACACGCTTCTGTAACCAAGAACAGCTCAGGCAGTTTGCATTGAAGTCCCTGTAGTTACTGAATATGAAGACTTAGTATGTAATAAGCCTGGATTTTTAAGGGGCTAACAAAAACAAATGTCTTAACAACTAAATATAATATTCAGTTTTTCAGTATTTAGTATGTCCATCCGTTGTCTATTTTACAGCTTCCATTCTTTTAAGAAACTTTTAGTTTTTCAAAGAAATCTGCAGGGATATTTTTCCACACCTCCAAAGTTCAGTCTTAGAAGTTGATTGCATTTTCTGCTTCTCCTACATAATTGCCAACACGTGCAATGATGCTGAGGTCTGGGCTTCGGGGTGGTCAGTCCATTATTCTGAGAACACCAGCAGCTTTTTTGTTTGACGTGGACATTTTCTTCTTGTTTGATTATTTCCATTTCTCAGTGACAGCTTCACATCCTTTCAGACTCATAGCGTTGAGTCGTCTTCTCACAGTGGATGAAATACCTGTGCATTTTTTCTGAAGCAAGAGTAGAGCTTGATTTTCTTATCTTTCAAAGATGAAAGGTTTAAGTACTGTTTATCTGATGGTGACAGTTTTTGTGGCCTACAAGGTCTGGCACGGTTATTAGGAGTCCCATTTTCTCAAAATCTATGAACACATTTCTGAACTCCAGCTTTGGAAACTCCTGTTTTTTCCTTTGACTTCCCCCTTCATTATGTAAGTGGTGGATCTTATTTTCTCACAAATATCTCCTAAAAATGGATAACTTGTACTTAATTTCCATTGAAAACGGCCATTAAATAAATGAAGGGTGGCCTCTGACTTATGCACAGTACTGTACATTTTCAGGTCTTGACTATGTTGGAAAACCAGAGATAAACAGGGCTAACCTGTAGTGTGAGGACCAACAGAATACTCCTGACTTTGTAAAATGCTTTACCATTCCTCTTTGTTACATATGGGACATATGCTTGAACCCAACATCCTGACATTGTATAAAAACAAGGGTCTGTTTCTGTGTGTTATGTAATCCAGCACACCATGTACTGAGCTAAACAGGGCTGAACCCCACACCCCTGTCTTTGCTTTTATTTTTTCCTTCTTCACTTTTTTTCCCTCTTGTGTTCTTGAGGCATTACAAAATTGAGGGGTGTGGATCACCCTGTTCATGAAGGCAGGCTGATTTGTAGCTTATACACTCGGAAAGCCTTCTCTGTTGTGTGATGTTCAGAACAAAGAGATTCAAAGCTGAAGCTAACAGCATGATGTGCTCCTTAATGAAGGCATGCAGAAACACTACTTCATCTTTGTGGTGGTCTCTGTAGTAGTGATGAAAACTAGGTCACCCAAATAAGAGGAGGAATGATGCCGTGAAATAAAGGGAGAATGAGTTTAAGATACCATTCTAGTGTAGAGTATTTTTTTTCCACATAGTATTTTATCTCTGTCCCTAAAATGTTTAGGTGTCAAGTACTAGTTTTCTGTTGCTGTTACATCTTGATCAAATGGGAGATGCATTAACAAAGTGATGCTGAATTATTCATGATCCAGTACTCAGATATTTATAATCAAGTAAATATGCTTAGTCAGATTTTTTCTGCCATAATAGAATCTAAATACAATATGTATTTTGTGTTTTATTTGCATTTGATTGTGGTACTTTTAGTGTGTTTTAGTGTTTTGCGAGGCAGTTATTTGTAACATGGAGATTACATGTGCGATCTTTACTGAGTGCTTGGCTTTTGTGTTTTCTGTAGGAGGTCAGCTACTGTCAGGGCATGAGCCAGATTGCTGCCATTTTGCTTATGTACCTGAACGAGGAGGACGCATTCTGGGCCCTGTCCCAGCTACTCACCAACCAGAAGCATGCTATGCATGGTGAGCAACTCTGATTTAAATCTGATTTTGATTTATCTCAACTTTGTGAAATGAGTAATTCTAAGTAAAATGAAATGAATGTAACACCCCTTAACTTTTGTGTGGTGTTTGTGTCTGTGGGACCCATTTTAAATGTTTACGAAAAGAAAAAATGATGCGATGTATTGTTAATTCAGCCCCTTCTTGGCCTTTTCTGATTTTACACTGTACACCCCGCCACATATTTATATACACATGGGGTGAACCTGCGAGGAATAAAAGTGTGGAGGTGCTGTGTCCCTTCACTCTGTTCTCCTCCTACATGGCCTGCTGTTAGTGTGTGTGTCTGTGTGTATGTGTGTGTGTATATATATATATATATATAATATATATATATAATATATATATATATATATATATATATATATATATATATATATATACAGCTGCTAAATGAGACCCCTACACTGGCCACTTGTGATATTTTAAACATCTGGTATTGTTACATAAATTGTTATGGCTGCATTGATTTAAAAAAACAATAATGTGGTGGGTCCACCAGACCACTGAGTAACAAAAACATCAGCACCACACACACAGTTGCCTGTTAACTGAATTTATGTAGTGAATTGTTTTTGTGTTGGATAATTGTACAGAGTAATTTGTAATTGCATTTGACTATGTTGTATGATGTCTGTAATCCTATTCTGCATGATGATTCCCAGGATTCTTCATCCCTGGCTTTCCCAAACTACAGCGGTTCCAGGCTCACCATGACCAGATACTGGCTAAACTCCTTCCGAAACTCAAGAGGCACATGGTAATATTTTCTCACCCTTGTTCTTTTGTTGGACAGGAACTGACATGCTTTGGTAGCCTGTCAAATGTTCTTATGCTCTCACAAGCTTTTCAGATTTTTTTTTTTTTCTCTTCTGTTCCTTGTCTCTCTCCTCTCCAGGATAAGGAGCAGATGACTACTGGTATATACACAACCAAATGGTTCCTGCAGTGCTTCATTGACAGGGTGAGGAATTCTGGTCCTCTTTGCTTACTTTTTACATGCATAGTTTACACTGATTCACCTTGATGTCCTAACTGAATCATCAGACTGTAGTCGCCTCACAGACAAATCTTCACATACACGTAGTCTGACTTCTTGTTTCAAGTCTAGGATTGTGCTATAAATCTGATATTGCATAATGCTTTGCAAAACGTCTTGTTCCTCACATCTTGAATGTCCCTTTTTGTGTGGAAACACATGTATGTGGTCAAGTATTGATCTAGATGATGGAGGACTTGAAGTGATTCATGCTGTTGTTTATTTTAAAAACAATAGCAGTAGTGTACTATAGTAACACAAATCATGCCAGATCTGTCTTGCACATTTTGATGGACGTTGCTTCCCCCTCTTAGTTCCTTTGCTTTTTCCCTCGCTGATCCATCATTTAACACTCACAGACCACATGCCAAAAACAATAGACAGAGTTTGACCTCTGTTAGAACACAGTAAAATGCTTCACTTCTCTTTTATCTAGGACGAGCATTACATCACTCACCACACACACACACACACGCTACAGTGTTTTAACAAACAAAACTGGGACTTCTCTGTGAATTTTTTATTCGACTTGGCCAAAAACCGAGAGAGACAATCTTTTATTCATGCTACTCCCCACATTCGTCTTATTTGGTTTTAGTTAGGATGTATGATTTTTCTCATCCTTCATCACTTCATCCTTTATTATTCTTTCAAATAGACACCTTTCACGCTGACTCTGCGTCTGTGGGATATTTACATACTGGAGGGAGAGAGAGTTCTAACTTCAATGGCCTACACTGTCCTACGAATCCACAAAAGTATGTATGGTGCACTCACTTCAGTTAATCTAAACTAAAATAAAAAATAGGACAACAAAAATATTGTCGCTGTCTGAGCAAAACCTTCTATTTCCAGAATGGTCATTTTACAGGAGAAGGAAAAAAACTTTCTTAACTTTTAGTGGAAGTTTGTGAGTTTGGACCACGCCTTCAGCATGTGGTGGTAGTTTGTGGGATGGGGAGAACTCTGAGAACTTGGGCTGAAGTTCTGGGCAGCTTCTACCTGTAGCCAGAAGGCCGGACCCCCCTCATAGCTGTTGTAGGACTGACGTAGGATTGAGGAACAGGGGGAGGAGATGGGGTAGCGGTGGGGATTGCGAACACTTTGTCACGGGACTAGAAGGTAAGACTGTGAATTTATAGGGTGTTAGACTGGAAGAAGAAGGGGTTTCAGCCATGTTCCTCACTTTAATCTTTAGTACACTTCATTAAATGCAGCAGTTATTTATTCCAAGTGCTTTTGGATCCTTTCTGCTGGTCCATTTACCATAAAATATTGACACAATCTAAAGGGTGGATAGCATTTTAAAATGTAAAGAAAAAAAAAGATACAAGGTTTTGCTCGGACAGCAACACCCCACCCTTAAGCAAGTTACAGCTAGACAACACTGACTGGACAGAGATGGGCAAACACAAATGTTTAACTGAATTAAACTCGTTGGTGTCCAACCCATGTTTGATTGTTGAAAGACTAAAATATTCACTGTAGTTCATTTGGCTTGTGTGTTCTTTTCCTGAAACATTCTGACATTTGCAGACATCAGAGTGTTAGCGTTTGTTTGTGTTTGTCTGGTTGGTGTGCTCTGGCCTTTAGCCTACAGTTGTTTCCTGTCCTTGTAGTTTGCAAGGGTTATAGCAGTGCCATGTTAAATCCATCACCTTATTATAGAAGATGCAAATCATTTACCTTTTTGCACTTCGCTCAGTTGTAAGTGTTCTCATGAGCTTTAACATGTCATAACATAACATTGTCTCTTCTCAGAGCGTCTGCTGAAGATGTCTTTGGAGGATCTGCGGGAGTTCCTGCAGGAGAGCATCTCCTCTTCCTACAATCAAAGCGATGATGCAGTCATAGAGCAGCTGCAGGCCGCCATGTCTGAGCTACGCAAAATGAAGCTGGATCTTCCTCCTGCATGTATGTTATCTGTTTCTGTCTGTCGGTACACATTTCTGTCTAACGGTTACTGTCAGTTTTGTTGTCAGTTTTACTTGTTTCTCTTAAAAGAATAGTTAAAGGAAAAATTAAGGATTTACCTGAAACGTAGTTGATCAGCCAAATCATGGGCTGGAGCTACGAGGCTTATGTAACTAACAAGTGACTTAGGCTTGGAACCCACTTTAGCATCCTGCAAACAGCATAGTCATGTGATAATTTACTATATACTCTCTGTGAAGTCTTGTGGACAGAAGTGTATAACAGTATTCATTATACACAGCTGTCCACAATGTAAGTGCAGAAATAATTGTTTTGTGTTGTGTAATGTTTTTTCAGCAAAAGGCGATGAGCTCCCAAAGAAACCCTTGGGTCAGCCAGACAAAAGCAGTCACTTACCGGACTCCAACACCCAAAATCAGACACACTCCGTCCCTTCAGCCAGCCCAGTAATACTTTACAGCCAAACAAAGGATTCAGTGCCCCAAATTGTGACCTCATACTCGCAACCTGAGTGTGATGGGTCGGAGTCTAGAGCAGAGAGCCAAAATAGTGCTGCTGAGAGAAAGCTGGCTTTTCCCTCTGCAGGGGCTACTCTCTCACAAGAGAGTGCTGTTCACAGGCCACCTTCAGGTGAATCCGATTTCCAGGGATATGCCAGTGACTGGCCACCTCCATACCAGCCTTCTGAGACTGACGTGTCCAGTGTGCACTCTCTAAACCTTCCTGAACTGCCCCCTCCACCTCTTCCAGAGCCAGTAGTTGAGCTTTTACCCCTGGATGGTAAAGCATTACCACCACCCCCACCAGCACTAACTCATGTGGATCTCAACCAGGTGGATCCATGTTCCTCGCCATCTTCCTACAGAGCCCAACGGCAGCTCAGCAAGTTCCCTGTCGGCTTGTACGTACCACCATCAGCAAGCGATCGGCGGCCCTCTAACACCTCCCATTATGATAACCTGTCTGAAGAGGACGAGTCTCTGGAAAAGTTGCTAGAAATTGCAGCAACCTTGCCGCCAAGCCCTGAAACGGGCAGAGAACTCTCCAGCCTTCCTCCTCTCCCAGAGAACAGTGCCACTTACCCTTGGCCCCACCCACCAGGATTCTTTTATATACCTGAGTCTGCTCCACCTCCCCCACCAAAACCATGCCTGCCCCCACTGCCTCAGGAACTGGACTACCGAGGGCCAGACAACTGGGTCACTCCAGACTGCATCTTCCCTAAGCCCCCTCCTGACTTTGCAGATACACCGTCCCTCTGTCCCCTCCCCTCTACCCTCTGTCAGGTCCAGTCAGGCCAGTCGGGTCCAGAGTGACACTTACAGGAACCATCTGCAACCTCCCAGAGTCCCAGTAAAACCAGCAGCAGCACCGTCCCCTACACCCCCTCCAGTGCGGTCTGAGTCAGGCTTTAACCGGATACACGTCCCTAATTGCCAGCTGCCAAAGCCAGTGACCTTCTGATGCAGGAAACTTTTGCAGTTTTTTGTGTGGCACTGTAATTCACAAAAGGTCATGTTCCGTCTCCATGATGTTTGGAATTTTCCACGTCAGGCCATCCTGTTACACTCTGTTTTTTTTCGGACTGTTGTAATGTGTACAACTTTTTTACCCTTAAAGATTTGAATTTCTTCCTGTGATTGTCAAATTTTGTCTAATGTAGCACATTTTTGCAACGTTGTTGGTGCTTCTATGTGTGTTTTGGGTGTTTACAGCCACTCAGGAGCAGCAGTGTGCTCTTGTGCTTACGTCTGTTTGGCTTACCTTGTGCCTTTTAAGCCGTTTTGTTTTTTATAGTTCTCGATATTAAGACTAAGATTTGTAAACTCAAAATCTGATAATTTGTACACAGGACACCAAAAAGCTTGTTAAACTAGATATTTTTAAGTGCATCAGTGTATATATCATTCAGATTGCTGCAGATTGAATACAGAATAAGTGCCCATGGGCTCATAATTCCTCTCAGTAATACTTCAATAATGAACTCCAGCAATAAGTATGTTGTGCATGTGACTCAAACATAGGCATGTTCTGGAAATGTCTCACTGATCCCCATAATAGGCATATGATTTATAGTATGCAGTGTTTTTATTTGTGAATAGTTTGTCTTGTGTGTGAATGGAGTGCATTGGTTTAGGCAGCTTTGTGTTTTTTGTATTGTGTAAAGCTTTAACGCACATAGGCCCACCTAATTGTCAAAAAAAGACTCATTCATGTGTTTATATTCCCCAAAAATGTGTATCATAAAGGGCGCATACCAACGTGAGGAAAATTAAGGACGTTACAGGCTGCTCTTTTGTGTTTTGTGCTTTTTCTCTTATAATCCTTTAGGTCAGGATTGGAAAAGGAGATAGTCCTGTATTAGCTTTAAAAGGATCATTTGAACATAAAGTGAGGAAATCCCCCCAGTAAGGGATTGTGATTTACTAATCAGTAGCACCACCCTGTGGAAGACCCTGCTATGTTCTGCAAAACCCACATACTTTGCCTGTAAATGTGGCTCGACAGTGAATTTGTACAGAAACTAACCCTGGTGGTAAATATTAGAGGCCACGGTTATTATATTATTTCATTTGCACTTTTTTTATTATTATATTTAAGAGCTTTCAGTTTTGTGTTCCTCAGGTGCAACTGCTTTTTCTTTTCAAAGCAGTTTCAAACCCAACCCAAAGACTGTCTTTGTATTTTGGTTGTAATGCTATGCAGACAGAATTGGAGATCGAAACCAAAAGTATTTTAAAAAATTGTTTGTTTACTTATAAACTGAAAAAACAGAAATGACAAGACGTTTCCACACAGTGTGTTTATTAAACATTTACATTATTGCTGCATTTTGTGTGGCACTTGCAGTGTGCGTTCAGTGCTACTTCAGACAGTATATACTTCCTTCAGTACATCTACTGTATACAAATGACTGAAGCTCAGGTTAGTGCATCACAGTAGTAAAGTATAATTCATTGCTTAAATGCATGTCAAGAAGCCAGCTCCTTCAACTGTTACTGACGTGCAAATACAAGGCACCACTGGATTAACAGTATGTTGTCAGCATTTGCAAATAATTTAATATTTTCCCCCTCACCCCTCACTATTAACACTACTGTAACTACATATTGCCATTTAGAGACCTGTTTTGCAAAGCAGACTAAAATATGAAACAAAAAAATGAAAATAGTTAAAGCATTTCATTCATTCAGAGTGCTTTGGTACAATTCAATCACAGTAAGATGGGTTAGAAGAGGATAAGAGGGTAACTTCACTTTCAAGTGTAATTTTTAATTCCATAAATAGATCAGCATGTGACAGGTAAGAAAAAATTGCACTTAAATAGAGTAACTGTTGTAAACATAAAATATATAAAGTACACCAAGAATGTAGTTGATTAAAAGGAGTGTTACAACGTGACTTTGACATTCTTCAGGCCCTATTACAATCATCCCCAGCAAAACCGCCTCTTATACAATCTTTGTAGGACTGCGAAGGTTTAGGATAGTAGTGCTAGTCGAGGTCAGAATTCTTCAGAAGGCAAATTTTAGGTATTTCAAGTAAAAACTGCAGATAAGACTGCATCAGTCTTGTTTTCATGACTGCAGTCTGATTTGGAGCACAATATCATTGGCAGGAGAATATACTCTCTAAATATCTCCAGTTTTTTGGTCATGACGTTCTGTGATTCTGTAGAACAAACTTACTTTTACTTGAAACTTTCATTTTCTTCCTTGCAAGTTAAGGGTAGTGCAGTTCAGGCAACGCCATCACCTGGAAGCTAATGATACTGCCTTATATTCTATTATCACATTCTTTTCAGTTGGCCACTTTGCATGCAGTCAACCGTTTTTCCGAAAGGCACATGCAGTCTAAGCATGCAATTATATTGCATGAAACACAGCTAGTGAGGCTGTGGAAAAGTGTGGATCAGAAAGAGGATAATTTTGAGACTTCAATTGTCCACAAGATGCTGAAGGTGCTTTGGATGTCTGCAGCAGTGCTGGTATATGAGGTTTGTAGAGTTATATCCTCAACTGCATGAAGAAGTTGCTTAGAGATGTGACACTTTCCCTCAGTTTGGCATCATCTTCTGGGCTGAAAGCCACTCCTGCCAGGCGAGTGGACCCATTTGCCCCAAGCACACAAGGTAAGCTGAGGAACACCTCTGAACCAATACCTCCCCATCCCTGAGACAAAGCACACACAGCTAGAGTAAACAAGTACAAACGCAAACCCTAAAGAAGCACATACCAATCTTTCAAAAATTCTGCAAAATTAAATGGTTAAGATGCGAAGTCATTCAGACTGGTTTGTTGTGAAATTCTTTATTCTAGAGAAACTTACTGAATAAGAATAATTCACAGTGGTGGGGATGGGAACCAGACATATGAAGCCTTTGATCCCTCTAAAAACTCCCTCACAGAACATTATTACATATCCCAGAAGACACATTTAATTCACTGGTGGTTTTGGATAGTAAATAAAATGGCTATTTTTTCATAGACATTACAAACTCTGGTTCCTATCACCACCACTGTAAAGAATTCTGAATCATTAAGTTTCTCTATTGTTATTATTATGATGATATTATTAAGCGGCATCAAGTCAGTTGTGATTCTGGCTTCCACATGGACAGTGATTCTCCAGAAAGCCTTCTATTTGGGTCTTGAGGCTTGATTTGGTCAAAGTGCAATTTATTTTTCTTGCCATCCAAGGTACTTTTAAAACACGAAAGGCATCAATATTTTTCCTGTCCTGTTTCCTGTTTCTCTACAACGCTTCACACCACTCAGAGGTACATGGCTAAGGAGGTCTGGCATCTTCTAGGAACTGGATTGATGAAATAATAAACACAACATCAAATTTGTTTGGGAAGACCACATACAATGGGTGATACAGACTACAGAAGGCCTTAGAAAAGAAGCTCAGGGCCCAAATTTATCAAACTTCAGATTAAGAATGATACATTTTTGCCTTATACACACACAACGGAACAGGGACAACATGGACTGATGGAATCCTGGGCCCATATTCACCTAGCTTCTGAGTGCTGATCTAGGATCAGATTTCTCTCTTATTTAGAATGATCTTACTGGCAGGAACAGATCCTAGAACAGCCCTCCTACTCTGATTTATTAATTCAGGCCCTGATGTTAGATCAGTGTTCTTACTCTAAGATGCTTGATAAACATGGGCCTGGGACTGCTTCATAGGACTGTCTCTCTGTGCTGTGATTACCTTCTGGACGTTTACAGAGAGCAACAGACTGAGTGACTGACCTGAGCCAGAGTGGTGATGGAGTGTGTTTTCTTCTGGTCTGTGAGAATGCTGTGAGTGATGTCAGCGATGGAGAGCCCAACAGACCAGGATCTCTGACCTTTCCCCTTCAACATGTCGAATGCCCTGAAGGGTGTTAAACATAGGATCACAGCTTAGCACCCACAGATGCCGTGATTAACAGAGTCAGCAGCGTGCAATTGTTGGATCCAGGTCCGAGTCAAAGTGAATAGGAAATCATTACACATTTTTCTTCTATACAATGGAAGGGTCTCTGAGCTAGCTGAGCATTTTGCTTTGTGATAGGTGGTGGAAGGTGGAGGTGAAACATGGAACATAAGGTTAATATTATTAATATGTTAATATTATTTATTTTTAAGTCAAAAGAGGCGAGCAAAGTCATTATGTGCCAATCAAAGATTATTGAAAACAGTTTTGTCTTTTTAATAGGATGATATGATGAATTTTGCTTAATATGACCAGGGACATCCATTTTAAATACTCTGGTTAACATTAAGCCACTTCTAAATATCTAAATGAAGATTTCAAATGCATTAAACTAAAGTTTGTGATACGATGCTCAACAGTTCTTACCTGTCCATCAGTGGCTTTGTAGAGCTGGACACTGGGATCAACACTTGCTGTTTGTCCCCACCTGATCCTCCATTACCCCATACAGCGACTAATAAGCAGTCAGAGATGTCCGTTAGCATTTCTTCAAAAATTAAATCATTACAATCTATCAAATAGTAGTGTGACACTCACATATGCATGACAAGAAGGACACTCAACACTTCTACAAACTCCATATAAAAGCCTCAAACAATCTGATACAAAAGTTTGAACAAACTCAGTCAAATTATATTTTAATAAGTTAACATATCCTCTACAGGGAACAAAATTAAATATGCCATTTTTGACCATTTAACATAATGGAAAATATATATATATATATATATATATATATATATATATATATATATATATATATATATATATATATAAAGTGCCATAACTTTTGCACAGGCCACGTTTTGTTTTTTTTCCCTGATATGTTAAATTCAGTAAATAAATAGTAACAGTGCATTAAAATGTGCAGAAATGTACAGAGGATGTGTTCATTTATTTTCATTTAGTAAATCAACAAAATGTAATTTGACCAGGGGTGCCCAAACTTTTGCATTCGACTGCAATAGTCAAAATAAAACTTTACAAACAAACCATCAGCAAGGCACATAAATAGCAAAATGAAAATATCTGGGCTCACCTTTGTTGTCAGAGAGCTCTCCTATGACCCAGGCCTGTTTGTTTGTGCTCTTGGCCAGCAGAGCAACATTGAGGAAATAAGAGAGCCGTTCTGATTCCAGGTTACAGCCTGCACCTATCACATGCGTCGGTAGAAAGCAACTCTGCCTCCATGCCACATGTGTCATTACGTCCACTAAGAACAAGAACAGCGCCCAGGTCACATACACACATGACTCAAAGCTGTAATGCATTGGCACATTACTGATGTAGACTATGCAATGCACTGTAATGTCAGAACGCATCTCAGAAACAGGGCTGTTTGTAAAATCAGCAGCTAGCATTTGTGCTGAAAAGGTTGCAATTTTTTTGGCACAAACTAAAGTACTGTAGCTTTGAGATAAACATCCAAAGTGATACTTCTAAAGTGTTAATTTCAGTAAATGGAACAACTTACTAACTGAAAAAAATAAATAAGGTAGCACGTAAAAGGTCTGAATTTTAATTCATTTTCTCCGCAATACCTGATCCCCACAAGGGGGAGCCATTAGCACACAGCAGTTTTGTGTGCATTATTGAAAGAGAGGAAATCCACACCACCAGGATTTCATGAATGCAAGCATGCTTGCAGACACAAATTTCAAAACAAAAAGCAAAATATTTTATCACCTAAGGATTACTTAATGTTAATTTATATATATAATAGCACTGATAGAAACCAATGAGTAGTTAGTAAGTTATAACAGAAATTGGCAACTATAACTTTTTGTTATAAATGTTATAGACGTACCTCCTTCTCTAAGTAAATTTGAATTCTTCTTTTTTGTTTGTTTGTTTTTATTCTTTTTGTTAAGTACATGGAAAGGTATCAAAATTGCTATCTATGGTAATCAACCATATGTGACAGATGCTGCAGATGAAGATTAGGTTGAAACATTGCTGGAATATTCCTTTAACTCTAGTGTTTTCATCAGCAATCATTCCTCAGTTTCCCTTTACAGCAAAAAAGAGGCTTCCCTGTCATTACACAAAGTTTAAAGACAGATGGGAACGCGCTGCACGCTGACCAGGCTGAGAGGCGATGAGCAGCACTGCAGTGGGGCTGAGCTGGGCCAGGCTTGGGATGATGCGGCGGTACAGATCCACATTAGTCTGCACTACACTCACGTATGACTGCTCCTCACTCCAGGCATTTGCAGTCACCACCACCACTTTGGAGCCAGCTGAGGCCGACAGGTCTGCAGAGAAGAAGACACTCACCCTATCAGTGCTGAGTCCCAGTGGAAAGAGGTTATTACGTAACCCTACACAGCCTATGACACATGAGTCATGTGAGTGGCATTATGTCAACAGTTTGTGTGCTGCTGTTTCAGAAGACATTTGCCTTTTAAATCTCAATAAATCTACTAACAAACTGAGAAAAATGAAATACTGAACATCATGAGGAAAGTAAAAAGAAAGTGAAACAGTTCTGAATGACCCAAATACAGCAGATCCAAATACAGGTCCATGTGGTGCGTGTTCTTATGCTTGACTTGCTTTAACACACATGACTCAGATTACAAAGGGCTTCTTACGTACAACATGAGTCAAATCCAGAATGGCAGAACTGAGAAAACACTATAGTAGCTATTTTAGAGTGATTGCTTGTTAGAAACAACATTATGCTTTAACTGACATTCCCATCAGCGTTGTAATACTGAGCTAAAACATAGTACTGAGGTACTGTTCAAAGCCATATCCAACAGTCTCCATGTAAAATCCTGACCACTAAAGAGCTCAATAATTTAGGATAAACTGTTTTTGGAAACACAATATAAAAATTTTACCTTTTGAGACTTCGACTTTGGGCAACTTGAAAATCTCCAGGTCCACTGTACCACCCTTGGTTGAACTCTCTGGTATGTCAATCAAAACCAATTTATCCACAAAGACCTTTAATGAAAGAAGAAGAAGAAGAAAAAGAGAGAGTGTAATAGAGAGTGAGAGTAATAGATAGCAAGTGTATTTATGAGTAAACAGGAAAAGTGAGACAGAGGAATATCATGAGATCTAATGATAGAATTAAAGAACTATTTATACTGCATAGTTTTTGTTTTTTTTTAATGAGCAATTGAGCAATTTACTTTTGCCATGATACTCAACACAGCTGCCATCCCCAAGTCTCCCCCTCCAATCACAGACACTTTATTTATGCTCTGATCAGGCCGATTCCCACCTATGGAAACAAACCATACGGTCTTAATTTTTTTAATTATTGAACACACATTTTAATGATTGAACTCTTTCTTAATTAGTAGTAGTATTGTCTTTTTCTATGTTTACTGGCAAATGAATTCTGAAAAAAACAAGCAAACAAACAAAACAAGGCTATAATCATCCAATCACAGTTAGTTTTGCAGGTAAATTAAACAATTGTGTCATCTCACTGAAGATGTTACCATGTTAAACAGCATAGCTACCTTCCGTGATGTTTAGATGGGACACAAAAGCGAGCAGCTCATTGGGATCGTTTCCATCTCCTGTAGATTTCATGCCCAGAGGAGGTTCCTCTTCAAACTTAGCAATCATCTCCAACACCAGCGCAGTCACAGATGACTTTGGCTGAAATGTTGATAAAGTTAAACACATTGAAAATTGAGTTTGATGAGGTGGGCATGGGTGGGTTTCATTTACGTTAATTTAATACCGTGAATTGAAGAAAATACATTTATTACTTAACTACTTGATAGATCCAGGCAGGTCTTGTTTATGATTATGAGTATTTACATGAATCCTAAATGTAAACATTCATATCCACATCCATCGGGTATAAATTATCTTGTGTGGTCCTTAAACATGGATTAAATTAATGGTTTTCATAAACTAAAGAAGCAAACTTCAGACACCATGTCTTGGCTGATGGACCATGACTGGAGTAAGGAGACAACTGGGTAGGTTTGATTTTGAACTATTCCTTTCACCTAAACGTTATTTCACAGGCTGTATAATCTCTCTTACATGGTCCCAGCTGTGCAGGGCAGGCAGGAAGATCCTGCCCTGTGCGTTCACATGCTTTCCCTCTCTGATTATCATGTTGGCAGTGGGTCGCAGGAGGCAAATGGGAGGTGTGAAGGGGAACGAATCCAACAGCCATAACTGGATGGGCAAGTTGTAAGACCGACCTTGAAAACAAAACACATGGATAAGGAATGGTCAGCAAACTGTATCCCAATAAGATGCTCCTCTAACACAGTATAAACATAAGAGCACACAGACTCTCAATCCATTCTCAATCCAACGTGTCCACTGATCAACTGAGCAAGGGACTGATTCATCATCTCACCTCTGTACCTGACTGGGATGTTGCCCACCAACTTCAGCAGGTCCCTCTGGGAGCTGTCACTAAACGCTTTCGCCGGAAAGGAGAACCATTTGACCGGAAGTTAAAACCAACAAAATAATTTAATCAAGAGATTAAATGAATTTAAACGGAGAGCTTTATGTCCAAATTAATCACTCACTGTAAGCGCCAACCAGGAGTTTCATGTCGGGATAAACTCGGTTGACCTTCTGAAGCTCCTCAATGGCAACATCTCGAAATTTGTACTGTTAAAAAAGCAAATTCCAGTGAAAGGACAACTCAGTAAATCTGCTGTTTGACTGCGCTATCAGGTCAGACCGGTTGTTTCCTCTGAGAGGACTAACTTTAGGTATCTGTACGATCTAAGACGAAACTCCACAGGTAGCCTAGCCTACTTATCACATCCTCACACTCCTCCGCCGCTATACATACGACCCCCAAAAAGCAAGCAAAGCGTGAAACCCACCCTAGAGAGAATCTTTTTGACGGACTCCGAGCTCAGGTCCATGTTTAACAGGGATTGTTCAGCACTCTTCTCCTCTGCCTCTGTCTGTGCCTGTCAGCCGCTCAGAGAGCAATACTTCCGCAAACGCTTCACTGGCTACGCCTACGAACAACTACGGCGAGCCTGGAGGGAAATTCGCTAATGTCGTGATTCTGCCTGAAAACACAGACCAGTGATTTAATAATGACGACAACAGATAATTAAAGAAGAGCACTCATTCACCAAAAGCTTCTCAGCACAATGATAATTCTGACGTGCTAGAGCGAGCATCACTTTGAGCACTCTCTCTACCAATTCAGGTGATCTTAAAGGGGAATTCCACCGCTTTTTTAAAATTTCTTCATTCCATGTCGCTTGATGTGAAGCTTTCTTGACAGTGGTTATGATAGTACGTTAGTTCGGAGAGGCCATGAGCTGTTGCTATAATTTTCTGGATTGTTATCTTGTGATCTTAAGATGACACTTTTCTTATCTTTAGATCACAAGATAAATAACCCCTTTTCTCAAGATAACAATACAGAAAATGATAACTACCTCATGGCCTCTCCGGACTTATGTCTACACATAAACACAGTCATTTTATTCACTGTCCAAAACCACCAGGGACGTTGAGAGGGAGCTATTTCACAAAGCAAGATTTTATTTTTTTTTGGCCTACATGATCAGGCTGTCTGAGTAATGTTTATAATAGTTAAATTGTTGTAATAATAATAACAATAATAATAATAATAATAAACAACGTTTTCTTTGGTTTCTATTTTGCCTTACATTACTTTGCATGTATCTCTCAGCAAAGAATGAATAAAAAGAAGACATATTAGGTTAAAAACTCTCTCAAAACTATCACAAAACAATATCTCAAGCATCCAGCAGTGTATTCATCATTTCACGTAACAACTTTCTGTGAAGTAACTTCTAAAGGTATTAAACATTCAGATGTCTGGTTCCGCAGCACCACCGTGAACATTTTTGACCCATAAAGTTTCAAACCACTCTAAATAACTGTTTACATCTTACAAATTATGAATAAAAAAAGGGTGGAGTTCCCCCTTTAACACTCATATGCTTTTGGATAATGGGGCCTGATCATTAATTCTGTATTAGTCTTAGAAATGCTACAACCATGACTGATATTTCATATCTTGATAGTTTGTACAGTACTGGCAGTACACACCAAGCAAAAAGTACCAATGGTTCTATGACTTGTAACAACAGAAGAACCATTTTAAAAAGTCCTTTTAAAGAGCCGTATACAATAGGGTTTCCCAGAGAACCATTTAACCATACAGAACCCGTTTATGCATTCAAAATTGTTCTGTCACTATAATCCTGTATATAACCATTGCCTTTCCTCAAGAACCCTTGAAGAACCATTTGTAAGGATGTACAGTCAACTGAGCATCATCCTCATATTAAGTAACAAGCATGAACACAATGTGCTGCAGCACTTTTAAAAGAGATTTCTTGCTGCTGAAAGTGGTAGATGTTGGAGAAGGCGGCAAAAATGAGCGATCCATAATATACAAATACATCCTTTTTCAACTGGACCCTGACACAGTTCATAACAGGTGTGTCTTAACGTGATCAGCCACATTCAAATACAACAACACACGAGCAAAGAAAGATCACAGGACAAGAAGTTCTGTCAAATCACTTTAACAAGAAAAAACAAAATACATTGCAAAATCTGCAGTTTCTCATTTCCGTCATCAATTCAATAGTACAAGTAGTAAAATAAGACTCCCAGTTCATGTGAAATCCTTAACAAATGATGAAGCAGTTGTTGCTTGTGCTCTAAGGCAACCACGTCATTCCATTCTTATATAAAAATGTTAGTGAGTAATTATATATTACTTTCTCTACAGCTCAGCTATGAGAGATGGACTCTTGATAGTGCAAAACTGCTCCCCTATTTTGGCTATTTGAAATAAATAACGTAACATTAATTGCACAGTGGCACAAGGAAGTTTCAAACCCGATGCACCTGACTCTTCACCCCATGGCAGTCAGTCGTTCAAAATCATGTATCAAGTCTTTCTCCGTTTTACTTTCACTGCTTGTTTTTTTTTCATCTCCTCTTCCTCCATACGAATGTCTTCTTCATCTTCCTGGATACCCAAGCGTAAACTGAAGCAGAGAAAAAACAAAGATGCATTAAGGTACACACTGGTGTTTGCGTTTAAGCGTCCACCTTGACACACTTGTCAGGTTTTTTTTTCTCGAACAAATCATGTCATTTTTCTCTGTTTGGCCTCTTTCCGTTTAATTTCTTCCAGCTCTCGCCGTTCTTCCTCCTGATCCTCAAGCACAGCCAATCGCAGGCTACCAGCACAAGGCGCCAACGCAGAACACAAAGAAGCACACGTTATGACTTATGATGATGCAAACTGATGCCAAATATACCTTGGTCTGCATACATTTCTTTAGGTTGAATAAATTCAGTCTAGTTTACCTTCTTGCCTCCTCCTTCTGCTGTTCTTTCCAACTGCTTTCCATAAACTTTAATGCATAGTCACTCTCATCTTTGTATCTGATAAAACAGAGACAATTGACACTTTTATATTTATAGTGGCTACTTTACAAAAACTATTAACATAAAATGGTTACAAATGCATGTCTGAGACACTGTTTTATGATAGCTCTGAGATAAGGCTTTGGCCTTTTGGTCTTCTTTAAAATCCACTCATGCCAGAGGCGTACTGCAGGATGTTCTGAGGCTAAACATCCATTTTCAAATTTATCACAATTTTACCATTATCAACATTACATATAAACAAGATGTCTTCATTTGTGTTGTAGACATTGCCACCCCTGACACCTATTACTACTACTGTGAAGAAACAAAAGACAGTAAGTTTCTCCACAATGCACCATTTCACATCAAACCACTCTCTATGACTGTTTACATCCCAGTGACTGAATTGGAGGAATTCCACTTAAGGCCTTAGTTCAGAAACCCACAGACATTATATATCAAGTTGAATTTCAAACAACTGATAACTTACTTGGTCCTATCGTAGCCAAAGATTTCCCTGATATGCTTTGAAATTTCGTCTTGCTCTTCTCCTTCATCATCAATGAAGTCATCCATCTCTGGGTCATATTCCTCTTCTTCATCTTCATACTTACGTTTGTAGCTAGATGTTATTGGTGGCAGCACTGGTCCTTCAAAAAGGGTTAGAGAAAGAAACACAAACAAAAGACTTTTTAAATGTGAATAATCAAAAACGTACTTGATAATACTTATAGTATTAGATGTTTATAATAGCAATATTTATAAAATTCACTGTAGAATGTGACTACCAGGACTACCTTGCCACAGCAACACTGCTATATTTTAGCATGCCAAAATGAAAGTGAGTCAACCATGAGCCAGATTTGCTGACTAAACCTGCTGGAAATGCCTGCAGAGGCATTTGAAAGTAACATGTTTTTACAGGCACGCAGTCATTAAATTGCAGGGAGCTGCTACTCTCTGGCAGACTGGCAAAAATGTAAACGGCAAAATTACTAATCAGCAGCACTTATTCTGGTCTTCTAGCTCTCAAGGCCTACAACACAAGTGAACAATTATATTTCTCCTGGAAAAAAAACGCAGATACCACAATTAGAAAATCTCTTACCAGTTGGTCTAACCAAAATTCTATGGCCAGTTGGTCCTATAATTGTTTTGGGGCCTTGGGGAACTGAAGGCCTTGGGGCCATTCCTGGTTTGGGGGCAAAGTTCTTAGATGAAATTGTTTCTGACACAACAGTGCACTGGGGTCTTCCAGGGCCTGAGCCCATGCTGTTCTGTGGTCGTGCAGGCATGCTGCCACCGGGCCTACTAGATCCATTTGCAGAGGGTCGGCCTCCTCCAGGCACAGGGCGGCCTTGCAAGCTACCTCCGGGTCTCGGCTGCTGCGTGCCTGCTTGCTTTGAGGAGTTACCAGGAGCAGATCTCATTGGTCCATTGCCACCTGGTCGAGGAGCAGGGTTGCCTCCAGATCGTGACACTTCTCCTTTTCCAGGCTTTTGAGGAGGTCCTCCCTTGCTTGAGATACTCTGTCCAGGTCTGACCTGTCCAGATCCTTTGATCCCTTGAACTTGGCCCGGCAGCCTAGACGGGTTCGATCCAGGTCGGTTCCCAGAACTACTTGATTTTTCTTGAGGTAATCCAGGATACCCCTTCTTCGAGGTAAGGTCACTTGAGGTGGTGGGCTTTTGGCCTGTCTGCGGCCTGGTTACTGCTTGCTTGACTGAGGCTGGGGAACAACTCTTCATGGTAGATTTACCACTTAAGGCACCTGAGGAGCTAGAGCCAGGTTTGGACCCGTTTCCATGAGATATCTTGGCAGAACTGTGGGGTCGCTCACTTGGCGTATGCTGCTTTGGCATTTTGCTATTTCCACTGGGGGGTTTTTCACTTGAAGACTTGTGTGATTTGCTTTCCCTACTGTCCCTGTCAGTCACATGTTTCTTGTTAGAATTTGAGATGGACTTGCTATCTTTCTGCCCTGAAATTTTTTCTCCTTTACTATCTCTCCCTTTATCTTGTTTCTTAACTTTGCGCTCAAGTTCTAACTCCCTAATTTCATCTGCTGTGCGAAGCCTCTCTTCAGCTTTCTTGACTGTAGGTTTTAACTCAACAGGTTCAAACTGTTTTTTCTCAGCAAGCTTTAAAAGGTCTGCAAAGTTCATGAGCGGTGGAGCACTTTTAGCTGGAGCACTGGGTTTTTTCTGTGTGTTGCTAATTTTGCTTGGCCCACCGCTGCGGGCCTGAGGCCTCACTGCCGTTGGTTCTGGCTCAGATTCAGATTCAGAATCAGTTGCTTCATATTCATAATTGTCCTCATCGTCATAAACATCTGTATACTCCTGCCTTTCGTCAACCATTTCTCCCTTAGACCGCCTTTTCTTGGGCTGCTCTACAATAGGTATGCCATTGTAGCCCCTAAAGTTGTCCTTGGTGCGAGACGCCATGGCACGCGCCTTTCTGTCAGATTTCAGTTCGACCCTTTTAGCCAGAAGATCATTTTTCTGCTTTTTTTTCTCCAGATCTGAAAGTAAAGAATATAGAGAATTAAAGGAAAGAATGTAAGATAAAATAAAACAATTTAAGAGAAAAACCACCTGTTAAATGATACCTTTCTTTTTTTGCTCAATTTCCTGTTTCTTCAAGAACGCCTGTACTGCAGCAGAACTGACACCTTTTACTCTGGGGTCTTTTTTTGGAGGACCAGGTTTCAAGCTATACCTCTTCTGCAAAAACAGAGACAGATCTTCAGAAAAAGGCTACTGCTACATGCTAACGCTAATAAAATAGACTGATTATTAGCTGCATTGCATCTCTTCTTACGTTTCACATTAATCTTATAAACCAGACTGACAAAATACATAATTACAACAGTACAAAAATACACTACTCGTCAGTCCACACCAGACATATGGGGCTGGCTGACACAATGACATATCAGAAGATAGCAACCTACCTGTGTGCTGCTATGGCCCTGCTTTTGGGAAGCCATAGACAGGATGCTGGTGAAATCCATAGTGGCAAATGTCGAGCTGGCTACCAAGAGCTTCTACCTCAGCGATTTATCAGCTGTTAGCCTGTTGGCTAGCTAAGCGAGGCACGACTGGCCACTACTTTCCTATGCTTGTGGCTAGCTTTGTCCAGATAACTCAAATCAGCTTCTTACGCCACACTCACACGGCTGCATTTTACCAATATGTGCTAAAAACGAGCTTCTTCGACAGTATCAGTCCGTTCTATAGGACAAACGAGCTACTACACCGATCCGGAGAGGCATATCTGGCCAACTTCAGTGAGCTAGCGAGCTAGCTAACGTTAGCTTGCCTAGCCTATGTGAACCGATGTAAGATTAACGTTCCCAGTTAAAACGAAGAGAGTCGGTGAGATCTGTGAATAAACCACTTAACTCCTATTTCTCGACATCTTCGGTGCGTCGTTCATGTAATTACTCCATATACTTTATCGAAAACAAGAAAAGGAGCACAGAGAGCGAGAGACAGAGCAAACGCGTCCACTTCTAATCTGTCCACATCATTTCTGTGAGGTGAAGCGGCGCCTCATCCGGTCGGCGAACATATGTAACATCCGGAATGGTCTGTCTGTCATGGTGCAAAACAGGCAGATGTTGTGATGGACACTGTGTGCTAAAACACAGTTTGAAACTCATGGTTCACCGCTGTGGCCTCGGAATGGCCAGTTAGATGGCCTGAAAGATTAGCTAGCTGTACATTTTGCGGAGGAGTTTAAAAATCAAAAGAAACACAGGACTAGAAGTGCCGCCAGGTGTCATAGTTCTCTTACAGGGCCGCTGATATCGGCTGTAAGTAGAGTCACAGTGATTTACAGCTTTTCATTCATCGTCCCAAAGTCATTTAATCACATCTGAACCAAACTTTTGTTTGACAAACGACCCTCACTGTGTCATTAGCGAGAACAAACAAGCGTGTAGCAAACAGAGGATGTAAATAACAACCAGAGTAAGCCCCTCCCCCAGGGGGCGGTCCTCTTCGCCTCACTCTTGTCCTATTTACAGGCAGCCTTGCGTTCTGATTGGACAGATATTTTAACTACATCCTATCCGTGCTTTCCGTCTCTGCCTCCACCCACGGTTACAGCTGATTCTCTCCTCCCCCCGTCATGATGAACTGTCCCAAACAAGAGGGAGAGAAAAACAGTTTTCCGCACAAAGGAGCGTAAAATAGTCTTGCTGTCTCCTTCCATCTCCACTCCGGCGCCGATCCTCTTCCTGTCCGCTCAGGCGACAGTCCTGATACAGACCATGGTTTCACCTGTCACTGTGGTGAGTGGACGACTTATTCGCTTATTCTGCAGTTTCTCTAAAAAAGGCTACTTCACTGCGGTCCTAATTCATAGCACCGGTGCTGCTGCTCTTGTCATAGTATGTGTTAAAGTGTTTTATTTTTCCTTCTTCGTTTTAATGCATCACAACACCGCATCTTTCCGCTCTCCTTTAGCCCAGCGCTGGTTTTGGCGATTGTCTGCTGCAGCTGTAACAATAACGCACCATAGCATTGTTAATCCATAGGATTTGCTCCGTAATCTTAATCTGAGAACATTAGTCAATGGCAGTAGTCCTAAATATTTTCCCTTTAGCGCGGAGATTATTCAATTGCACATCATCGAGCCTGTTATATCTGGATAAACAATGAGCACGTGATCATGACCAGCATGCCCATGTTTGTTTATTTATTTATTTATTATGTATTTATTATTATTATTATTAATATTAATATTTTTATTATTATTATTATTACACTAGCCTTGTCTCCATCCGCAGCTCATCTGATCTTAGAAATGAGCCCACGCTAAAGCAAGCTTGGTGCAGGTCTAACAGCAGCTCCTCTCCTCAGTTTGATATGTGAGATATTTCTAGAATCGCGCTCAGTGAAGCCAACTTTGGCTCCGTCCCATCAACCGGCACTTTGTAAGCTGCTCCGCGTAACGACACAAAAAAGATTCTCACGATTTCCTTATTGTTTCAGTGCTTTCAGCTGCTTTCAAAGGGCTCTCAGTGAAAGGAAGCACTCATGTGACAACGCTTTTTTTCTTTTTTCTTTCTTCGGGTGACGCATGCGCTCAGCGCGCCTGTAGTGGACCTGCACTCGCAGCGTTAGACATGGTGCTCTCAGACTCTGAGTAAGGAGCAGTGATTAAATAACCCGGCACTTCATCTGAACGACAGGGCTAAGGTCTAGGGCTGTCGGTCAGTAAACTAGCCCACTGAGGTGAATTCACGTTTTATGGTCAATTTAGTATAAATTAATGCAGTATAGTGCACATTTATTCCATAATATTTAGTATCTAATGGTTATTATATTATGGCTCCTCAGACCTGCATATGTATAGATGTTCACACAGCTCTTTAGCTCCTTTCACATCAGCTCTTTATTATTTTTCATTGTACTTTTATTTTATTTGTCTCTTAGTTAAATATTCTGTGTGCTAAACAGTCTGTGTGCTTGTCTGGTCTCTTTAGGTTCATACATGTGAGCACTCACCAAGACAAATTCCATATATATGTAACAAAGTTACACCTTACCAAACCTTACCAAAACAGTTACACCTCACAAAACCTTACCAAAACAAAGTGATTCTGATTAGTTTAGTATAAATTGTTAAAAGGATACTCTGACTAAAATGAACTATGTTGTACATGTGCCTTCTCGCTCTCCTGCAGTGGTGCTGGGTAGTCTTGAGAGTGAAGTTTTCCAGTTTGAACAGTAGGAAAAGCCCCTTCTGATGATGTGTCTTGAAGGTGGGCATAAATTTGAGAAACTGCTGATTTGGAGTGGATTTTATGTGTGGACTGTTTGATTTTTTCCACTAGATGGCTTAAGCAGAAGGAAATACGATAGTCAACGTTACTTCTAAGAAGCTGATTATTACATCTGTATTTCTATGCCTCTACATCAGAGGTACATGACTGGATTTATTTTTTGCCAGAGGGTGATTCACAGTGGTTGTATGACATATTTGCTTATGAATTGGATACACAGTCATGAATTCTGTCAAGACTATGAGGCTGAGGGATGCAATACTGCGATACACAATATTACATAACATAACAAATAACGTACCATTGCTGTCCCAAAAATTCTAATATAGTAACTTTACAGTAGAAGGCAAAAATGTTCTTAACTTTTAATGTAAGTTGATGTAAAGAGGTTTTATTTCAAGTCATTTTGCAGTGTTTCTATTGGTGCATTCAATATTTTCATTGTACTTTATTGTGCGTATTCACATTATATTGTTAATTTGATGTAATATAATAGTACAATAACTTTCACCTCATTTTCACACAGCATGGGCCAGGATTTGGTTTCATAGCTTCATTCCACTGCCTGCACACTTCCTTCTTACAAGCTCCCGCCAGTAACCATGATTCTTAGCCGATCATCAAACATTGAAGGAAACTTTGTGTAAACAGACACGCACTGAGTATTAGAGTATAATGAAGTGTAAAAGACAACCCTACATTTAGTACATCTTGGAAATCATTACTAATTTTACCTTTGAGACACTGATTTGCTGAGTCCTGTTCCAGAACTGCAGTGGCTTACTGTGACCTTTCCCAGACTGCAGGGGTACAATCTGATTAAAATATATGCTTGCTAACAATAGCCATTTTTCCAGTGGAACAGCACAACTTCAGCCCCCCACTTCCTCTCCTAGGCCAAGGAATCAAAACAGCCAAGTTCTCAGACTGGCCTAGTGCATTAGTCCTGATGCAAGTGCATTCAGGGCAGTTCGCCATCTAGCATTTAGGTGCCTGTATTATTAATGCTGCGCAAAATGTGCACAGTACCTGTGCAACTATGCCAAGCTATGTATATATATGCTATGTAGATAGCAGCTTTGCTTATACAAACATTCAAAACAGACATTTATTAGGAACATGTAAAAGACAGAATGGGAAAATTCATCTAACAGGATTGTTTTTTTGGAGTGTTTTACTTAAACCCCTCCTTTCTGTGTTAATCTTTCAGGCTTTGATTTGGATTATGCCTGAGCTGTGAGGGTGCTTTGATTATTCTTGTCATTTCCTATGCTGATATGTGGCATTTCGCTCTCATTTTTATCCACTCAGAAAGATGCATTAGCGGCCACATTAGCGGTCTCTCTCTCCCTCTCTTTCTCTCTCTCTCTCTCTCTTTCTCTCTCGGAGCATGCATGCGGGGACACAAATGGACACAATGAATAGAATATTCTGATATGCTGTGAACACTAGATTGAGTGTTTTCGGCTAGTGCTGGAGGCCTCCAGCTCGGTGGGAAAAAGTGGAGCAGAAAAGACAGAATTACAGTCACATGCCCTACCGAGCTGAAGTATTTACAATATGCAGTAGGGGAGCTAAAGCAAATGTATCCTTCTATTGTGTTACGTTCATGGTGTGAAGAAGAATACAGTTATTCTGAGGCTGTTTCTTTGTTGTGCCGATGTCTGTGGCTGCTTTAGTTATTCGGATTGAAAAGGGATGAATGATTGATTGACTGATTGGAGGCAACACAAAGCTGTGCTGCCATAAATTTACTAGAAGTACATCTGCTATCGTAAAACATGATTTTAGCTCTCGCCCCATCTGCCCCACTCTAAGAGCACCGTGCAGTACTTGGGTCTTATCTGCCTTTGCCATAGATAAACACAGTACTGCCAGGTTATGGACAAAGCAAACAAAGCAGTACATCATCGCCCCCTTATTTACTGTTTTCCGTCAGTGATGGTGGACTAATTTGGTTCATTTGTTTCACAGAATTATGCAATTGTTTGTAGCAGGGGACATATCATGCTCTGAATTGAGCCAGGCTTCTGGAATGAGCCTCTGCTTTGTGGGTCGGCCCCGGGGGTTTAAGCAAGAGAGCGGTTTTGCAATCAGCTTGGTCCCTCCGCTCTGCCTTCGTGCCATGCTGCTCTGAAGTGGTGGGATACAACTGGGTTGTTTTTGTAGGTTTCAGAGCACAAGGTGAAATGTTCAGCAGGATTGCTTTGCTTTGAGAAGTCCCCCTCCTCTCTCTTTCTCTCACTCTCGCTGCCAGAGAGATCTAGAACACTGTGGACTGGACACAGAGCTCCTGCCCTCCCTCCCTCCATAAACACAATAACCCTGAAAAGTTTTTTGTTTGATAAGCTTTAGATGTTTGATTCATATGTTCTATGCGTTCGTCCTGATTAGTTGATTATGTACTATTATTAGAAGAAGGCTCTCACAACATTTTGACATCATAAACAAGAGAATCAAATTAAAATCGTCAGTCACTGAGAGGAATTGTTGCCATTGTGGTGAGTCATTAAACCATCTCAAACACAGATGATAGACAATGACTTACATATTGTCTACCATTGTCTATGGTCTATTGCATGGCTGGCTTTTTAGAAGTTGGGAGTTATTACTTTTATTTTGCCATACTATTCAATAAACCAGTAGGGATGCTCCAAAATGTTTTGCAATAAAATGCCACACAACAAACTACATCTACATTCATTTCAAGTTCAAGAAGGCAAACATGGCAAAAAAGGGTTATTTTTCATTACAGAAAACAAGACTTTGCACACAACAGTAACTTTTCATCAAATCTTGAAAATAAAATTTTTTTAAAATATCTCAGCTTTTACATAGAAACGCAAATGTGGTACTGATTGAAATCATCAGCTTATCCTACAGAATTTCTCTGCTTGTTTCAGTGAGCTTTGAGTGAGAAATACATACATAATAATAATAAAACCAAATAATAAAACGAACCTTTTAATAATAATAATAATAATAATAATAGTAGTAATAATAATAATTATTATTATTATTTATAGAGCACTTTTCATACAGGTGGCACCTCAAAGTGCTTTACAGACAGCTGATAAACTTAACAGTCATAGAAGGAACTATGAGCATTAATTTAAAATCCCATAAGACAATGACAGCTCAAGTTAAAAAGATGAATACCAAAGAGACGTAGAGTTTTAATTAAATGTTAAAGAGATACATTTTAAATGTTTCTAAATGTTAAAAGTGAGCACTGAGCTTGACTGTTTAATAAAAGGTGGAATTGAGTTCCACAGTCTAAAAACATAAAATCTAAAAGAGTCTCTCCACATTTTCTGTATTTTACGGAAGGTATTTGCAGAAGGCCACTATCTGCAGATCTAAGGTTATGTGCTGGAACATAAAGAGACAAACATTCTGTGATGTAAACGGTGCTTTAAGATCATTTAGGGCTTAAAAACTAGTAGTGAAAGTTTAAAATCTATCCTAAAAGATACAGGTAGCCAGTGCAGTTCTTTCAAAACTGGAGTGATATGACCTCTCTTTTTTGTTTTTTGTTAAGATCCGTGCTGCTGCGTTTTGTACGAGTTGTAGAGGATGTATTGTTTTCTTAGGAAGCCCAGTAAGAAGAGCATTACAGTGATCAACTCAAATTCACAAGTTTCTCTGCGTCGCTCTAAAATAGAAAAGGCTGACCTTTAGCAAGATTTCTCATATGATAAAAAGCTACTTTAGTGACTGTGTTTACATGCGGGACAAAAAAGACATCTGAGTCTAAGATTCCACCCAGGTTTCCTACTTATGAAGCATAAGTATTCAGCATCTCATAAAGCAACTTTCTCTGAATTTTAGTACCAAGCATTAAAGCATAAAACAGAATTCCTCCAACCATAACCTGCTGGCCTCACAACTGATCTTTAACCCAGTCATGTTCTGTCCTTTCTGCTCTGTCCTTGGTGTCCAGGTGAAGAGTGAGGGCCCAAAGCTGGTGCCCTTCTTCAAAGCCACCTGTGTGTACTTTGTGCTGTGGCTGCCCACCTCCAGCCCCTCCTGGTTCAGTGCCCTCATCAAATGTCTGCCCATCTTCTGCCTCTGGGTGTTCCTGTTGGCCCATGGCATCAGCTTTTTAGGAGCCCACTCCAACGCCCGGAAAATCCTCGCAGGACTCATATTCTCTGCTCTCGGAGATGCTTTTCTGATCTGGCAGGAGCAGGGCTACTTCATCCATGGTGAGTTGATTATATTGCATCTCTTGATGTAGGAGGAGGTCAAATAGGTGCGATTTTTTCAGTGTTGTAAGTCAGTAGATGTTCGCCTCAAATGCTATGAAGCATGAAGTTACATATTTTTGCTGTTCTAACAAAACCTTGTGTCTCCATTATTATCTTTTTTTTAATTTTTGCAGAATTCAAAATACCAGCTGCTGTTTAAAATGTATTTAAATTTCATGAGAAATAAAACAAAAGAAAGGCAGCAAAATTCCTTGGGAAAAAATCTTGTTCAATTAATTTCCACTAAAATTTAAGGTTTTTCCCCTGTAAAGATACCTCTTTGGAGATACAAGGTTTTTTGCTGACAACAACAATATACTTCTGATCACCTAGGTACTTTATTTGCATGTTGGTGGCTCAGCTACAAACAACAACTTAATCCAAAGTCGATCAGCCAAAGCCGAAGTTTGCATTTTCACCCTGTATCTCAAATTGAGCACTTAAGTAGTGTACGAGCCACCTTTAGCGGAACTGAAAAAGAAGTGTGGAGTGTGGCTTGTGCTGGTTAAGCTCCTCAGTCACAGACTGCGGTACGAAGCAGAAGGGGAGGAGCCAGGAGAGTCTACTGTGATTTGAAATTTAAAAATTTTAGATAATAAGATTTTTATGTGACATCATTTTCATTACACTTGTGCAGTTATGCAGAGAAAGAGCATCTAGGATGTTATAGCCAATTGCAAACCATTAATGTTTTGAGATGATACCACCTTTCTAAATTCCAGGCTCTAGAGAGAGAGATGCATAGTATATAGTGGCCACATTGAGAACCATGATTAGTTTCGCACTGGAGCAAAGAGCTAACAGATAATGGATGCTTGCGGTCATCACTTTAGCCTAGTGCAAACGTAAATACTTAAATCATTACACGCTTGCCTCAAACCACATTCTTAAGTAATCTCAAATGAACTTGCCTATGTGGTTTCTGATACTTTATGACATACAGTGGACAAAAGTATAAACAAAATTCAAGGCTGCTCCTCCTGTTTAAGCTATGCAACATACATTGGTCCATTTTTAGGGACACAAATGTTAAACAGTGTAAGTGGGAAAGTTGTGTGCAGTCCTTCAGTGGTTGTTGTCAAGCCCATCCTACACTTAAATATCCAATAGAGCATTAAGTGTTTTACTGAACCATGACATCTTTGTGTATACAGGGCTGCTGATGTTCGCCGTCACCCACATCCTCTACTCCTCTGCTTTTGGGATGAAACCACTTAATCTACTGGCAGGCCTGGTTATAGCCACCATATCAGGCCTTTGCTACACCCTCCTCTACCCCTACCTGTCTGCACCCTTCACATACCTGGTGGCTGTCTACATCGCTCTTATTGGCTTCATGGGCTGGAGGGCCATCGCCGGCGTCCAGCTGACCAACGACCTGTGGACCTGGACGAAACTGTCTGCCTGCTTGGGAGCCGTTCTCTTCATGGTGTCTGACCTCACCATCGCCGTCAACAAGTTCTGCTTCCCCGTGCCACACTCGCGGGCCATCATTATGGCCACGTACTATGCGGCCCAGATGCTGATCGCCCTGTCGGCTGTGGAGTGCCAGGATGCTGACGTGGCCAGAAAGAGAGTGTGAGGAGCCCTGCTTTAAACCTGCCTCACACCAGCAACCTACAGAGAGCGGCAGCTTCACTTGTTTGGGTCCAGTCCCCCTCCCCACAAACCCTCATTCTTGAGCCCCTTGGTCCCATGGTGGCTTCCCCAGCATGATTCTGTTCTGAGTTGTTTTATGTTTCCGTAGGAGGTTTGACCATTGTTGGAGAGTGTGTGAGGTTTGGTCTCCATTCGGAGGCTTCATGTCGGAGTTGTGTTTGTACATTATTCAATCAGAAGTCCGGCCCTTTCTTTTAATTTTATATTTTCGAGTCCAGTTCTGGTTTTTCACATGGTTTTACACTCATTCTGAAGTCGAGAAGGGAAACATGAATCTATTTGACTATGGGATTCTCTTAGGGATTCTCTTCTATTCTCTTAGTTGTTAGCTGATGCTGTGTAAAATGGCATTCTGTTCAGAGCACTCCTAGTGACTCGCTTATTTTGCTCAAGACAGCCACTCTGCCTTCTTTCTGTGTTTCTTTCTCCTCCTTGCTCTCCTGTTGTATTTTAGAGAGTCCCAGCAGGCCCAAGGAGTCGTGACTGTTCTGTAGCTGTCGTGATTAGCTTTAGCTTCTCACTGGTGAAAAAGAATGGACAACAGTGTTTGTGTAGCTGGAATCGTTTTTATTTACGGGAGCTGGTTTCCCCGTGTTATCTTAGTGTTAAAGACATAATCAGAGAGCAGCATGACTTTTTATACTAAATATTATAGTCGAGCAGATAGAATGGATAACCCAGTGCTCTGTCTCCGTATGCATCCTGTCAGTATTCTGTATTTTTATTCTGTCTTTTTGTCCTTGAGACATTTCGCAGTGTTTGCTCTGCCAATTTTGTTTGTTAAGCTGAACCCACTTGAACACTCACACATACTGCTCTCTTTCTCCTTCCTACCCGCACACTTGTAGATGCACATTCTAATGCTGGACAGGGTAGTTCTTGCTGTAAATCTTCAGCACTAGTTCTATCTTTGTGGATGGAGGGGCATAACAGAAGATTATATCATATGATGGATAAGCCTATGCTTACAACTGCATCTGTGTTGTTTTGTTATTGTTTTTTTACTGGAAAGCTGATGATGTCTGTATTTTTAGCTTAAGCATGTCATATGATCACCTTACAGGCACCAAACATGACGCAAAAGGGACTCGGTATCATTAACTAAATACCAGGTTAATGCCCCTGTAAAAGGGAAAGGTTACTTCAGGGGAAGCTAGTGCTCCCCATTATGACGCCTTGGGTAGTCAATCATCAGAGTTACTTCACTGCTGTAGCTCTCTTGTGAAATCACTGCATTATCAATCCTAGCCTGTTTTGTGTATATTGTGATGTTACCATTCAGGTGTATTTTCACAGATGCTGTGAGAGGTTAAGAACTTTCTTTCTTGAAGAAGTAGAAGCAAGGCTACTTACCACATTTGTCTTGTTTTACTGACAGGTCATGGCCTAGTCAAGTGATAACAGAGAGTCCGCTCACAGGCAGTTGCATTGCACTGAGCCATAACTTAGATACAGTCGGTAATTTATCTCTCTCTGCATGTTTTATCATCTCGTTTTCTGTCTGCTCTCTGCCTCCTACAGTGCGCGTTTGTTGAAACTGGCATTGTCAGCGATCTCTGAGTTTAAACTTGAGAGGGAGAACAAGCAAAGCTAGTACCTTACCTACAATGTGCTCTTACGCCATCCTCATGATACTCAAACATACGCAACCACGAAGAAAAGACAGACAATCCAGGAAACATCATCCTTATTTTATTTATTTATGTTCTTTTGGATCTTTTTTATAGTTGCTTTTCACTCCCAATCTTTAAGTTATAACCCCCCCTCCACTCTGGGAAAGCAAAGGCCACAGATGCCTCCTCCAGTGCGAAATGCATGAAAAAACTGATGTCACATACTTAGAAACCACTCACCCAGAGCGCCTCAACACGCTTGGAGGAGAACATGATCACTTGACTTTGTGTGGTTGGCCAACTGAACGAGTCAGTTTTACAGCAAAGGAAGGGAAACAGAGTGGTTTCTCTGGCCACGCTCCAGCCCAACGCAGCCAACAGTGCTATGGATGGTACATTGTACAGCTCATCGACCCTTCGCTTTATCCTGTGTACAGGACGCCTTGTGTTGTTGCAGATTTCCCATTCAGTCATCCATAAAAGGGATCAGCACCTGGTCTTCTATCGCTGCTAAACAAGGGAAAACAAACTGTGATGGAAACGCTATCGGGCTCTTTATGTGTTCAGCTGTTGTACTGGAGTGGAGAAGTGAAAGGGTTTTTTTGGTACATAAACAGTGCAGAGCACAGAGCCTTGCTGTCATTAAAGCAGCAGGCAGATCCTTATCAGGACTTTCATGTCCTGTCACTCAAGCCTGGGTTGAGTTGTTTTAACCCCCCCGCCCCCACCACCATCTTACACAAAATGCACACCACACACTCACAATATGTGCATGTGAATATTGGAATATGATATATTTATCATTTACTTTCTTCTTTTACTTATTTATTGCACTTTTATCAACATTAAACAATGCAATTTCAGAAAATGTGGTAATTTATAGAAATTTAATTTCATGTACAGTAGTGCTTGGCAGTATCTTATAAACTTAACCAGCAGTAAAGTTTGGATTTTAGATAGGGGAGCTTTGTTATGCTAGACATTTATAAAACGCTAGAGAGAATCTAGCATAGGGCTATATGCGCACAGACATACGACCTTGCTTGTCCAAGCACCATTGCGACACTTTGGGTACTTCAGTTCAGCCCTGAGGGCAGTTTCGTAGGCTATGCCTTCCCTATCATCAGTCACACTGTCAGCAAAACATTTGCTTAGTCAGTCTGAATAGTGTCAGTGGCAGCATTGTCAGCGAAAAAGAATGTCTCATCCAAGCCATCATGTGTTATCTTCCCTAACACAATGTTTAGTAGCCATCTGAGGAAGAGACCAAGTATTTAGAGATGACTGGCAGGGTTACAGCAGGTCAAGCAGCGACTGACTGTCCCTTAGGCAGTAAGGTCACTCATTTAACCTCTTAAACTGCAGGCTTATTATACTTGTTATTTAGTAGCTACTTTAAATAAGTCTGGAACTACTATGACACGGATATGTAATGTACATAGCTGGGACATTCAGGTCCAGAAAGTAAAAAAAAAAACCTTTTGTTCCAACTGCCTGGCTTCACTTCTTAGTTCAAAACAGAGGAGTCCAGGCAGTGGGAACAAAATCCTGGGGAGGACTTTTACCTTCTGGACTTGATTTTCCCACCTCTGGTTATCACAGAGTGAGGAATTGAAGTTGAGGCCTACTTACAGGCCCTTAGAGTTTAAGGGGTTAAAGCTTCTGAAATCTTGGGTTGGATTAGTTTTGAACCTAACATGGTTGATTAGACTCTTTTAAAGGAATGCTCCAATGTTTTTCAGCCTAATCTTCTGTATCTGTAGCATACAGTCAATTACCATGGACAAACATTTTGACGTGTATCCCTGTACTTCACTAAAATAACAGAAAATCCATTGACTAGAAGCAGACTTATAATAGAATTCAGCAAGCAGGTGCTAAATAATTTGCTAATTGGCTTCTGGGCAGATACTCCAGCACCTGCTTATTGGCTTCTATTATATGTGTGATTAGAATCAGCAGATTTCTTCTTATTGTTCTAGTATGATGGTGATCAAACTCTTGCATTAGACTGCAGTTAATTGAACTGTCATACCAGCTAGTGATTACAATTATTTGAATTCAATTGTTTGGGTTCATGCTGTACTCTAGTATAGAGGTTAGGCTGAAAACCACTGGAGTATGGGGAATAATGGAGTAAAGTTCCGCTGATGTTCAGAGCTTGCTGTGTGTAGAGCTTGGTGCTGTAACGTGTGATTTTGCTGTGGTATGTGAACAATGCAAAGATTAAGGCCAGTGTGAATGTCTGCAGAAGCTGCTGTAGTCCATGCAACCAAGCTAAGCTAAGCTTCTCCTCTGTTTGCAGAAAGTAAACGCCACTCAGGCCCCCCTACATGCGACTCCCCTGGGGGCTAGTTAGGCACAGACAGAGGACACCACACCTCCCCCCATGCAGTCTCCCCCTTTGTCTAAAGCTCGTCCCATCAGAGGAGAACAGGTGCAGTCAGACATGCGGCACGGAAACCCAATCTTTAGCGAGGAGCTGTGAGTGGGCGAGGAGATGCAGGACAACAGAGGGGCAGAAGGTTCCCTTTCCATCTGGCCTCAAACTCCCAGGAGGCCTCTTTCTACCCCCTGCACTGCTGATCGGTTTACCCCCTCTATCAACACACTTACTGTTCCTTCTTTTGTGTGTAGAGACAAAGGGGATGTAGGAGAAAGCACTACGAACGCAGTATTGATGACTTTGTGTGTTTGGGGATATCTGTGCTGGTGCTGAGAGAAAATGTAAGGCATCAGCAGAGAGAGAGAGAGAGAGTGCAAGTCAGTAACACTTGACTAGCACATGCCCTTGTCCTAAGCACAAGAGAATGTAGAGCTGTATATGCACTTTTTTGTTTTTGCTTCCCCCTAATATGCCCTTTCTCTACCGCTCTGTGTAATATGGTCACTTTTGATACTCAGCAGATAGTTTGCATTTATAATTCAGCTGTCTGTTTTCTTGCAGTTCACCGTAGAGGGTGATTTAAATACATTGTGATAAACACTGATAACTCTTAAAGCTCCTACACATGGAGCCTACACTCTTAAAAAGAAAGGTGCCAAAAGCGGTTCTGTGGAGTGATGCCATAGACAAACCACTTTTGTTTCCATAATCCAGAATCTTTGGTAAAGCTTTACTGTAGGGCAGTGTTCATAAGGCTGCATGAGCCCTACTTAAGCTCATCAGGACAACTGGTGTAAACCTCATAGACATTCATAAAGGCTTTTTCATGACAACAGGCCTAAATCTACATGAACATTCGTAAAGGCTAGTGACATCACTTATTTCTGTCATTGGGTTTTGTCATGACACTTTCTTGGGTAAAAAGACATAACGTGTTATAACAGCTGACTCTTGGCCTTTTAGTGACATAAGGCAAGGCAAGGCAAGGTTATTTATACAGCACCTTTCATACACAGCAGTCATTGAAAGTGCTTTACAAATGATGAAATACAAAGATAATTCATTTTATAATTTAAAATTTAAAAAGTAAAATGAAGTAGAATAGAAATTAAAAACATGATTAAAACAATACATTTTAAGAGAGAAAAACATTAAAATTAAATAAAATACATTTAAAAAGTGTTAAATGATGAAGTGTTGTTGCAGGACAGAAGAGCTGTAGAGCTAAACGTGTTTTAAACTGCACTGAAAGCTGCTCAAATGGGGATGTTTTCAGCCTGGGTTTAAAACTGTCTAGTATTAGGGCTCTTCTAATGCTCTCTGTCAACTGGCTCCATTTAAGAGCAGCATAGTAGCTAAATGCACAATGTTTAGATTTGATCTTATGCAGGACTAACTGACTAGTTGCTAATGATCCGATAGTTCTGCTTGGCTCATATCGCTGCACAACAGATAAATACGCTGGTCCTGCACCACTGAGCGTTTTATTGACCAGTAATAGTATCTCAAATTCTGTTCTGTAACAGGCTGTTAGTCAGTGTAAGGATTTAAGAATGGGAGTGATATGTTCCGTTCTTTTACTTTTAGTGAGACTCTGGCAGCTGCATTTTGAAACATCTGAAGCTATTTGTGTTTTTTGGGAGTCCAATTAGGAGACCATTACAGTAATCAATCCTGCTAGAAATAAAGGTGTAGATGAGCAATGTTGATGGTTTGACATTGCTTAAATCTTATAAATGACACTCACTTTACTTAAGGGCCACAGAAAATGTTCACTCTTCTTCAACCAGCCTGATGAGGCAAGCTGTCATATTATCGGCTTTATGTCACTGTGACATACACTGAAATACAAAGTCTATGTCATTTCACTTTAGAAAGCCTAATGTAAGGAAAAATCAATGGTACCTGACAGATATTATGTTAACTTGAAATCAAGGTTGGCAAATGACAAATGACGCCTACTAGAGTAAGGGTTTATAGATGTTTATGTAGGTCTTCCTGAGTTGTCATGAAGGGATTATGTAGGTTTCATATAACCTTATGAACACTGCCCTGAGATGTGCATAATGTAAAGGTTTCATACTAGTGGTCCTCAAATGGATACTCAGGGCAATTCACATTTTTGCCCTATCCAATCTAGCAACATGTAGAAACCATCCTTGGGGGCCCTTAGTACTGGTTAAAAAAAATCATACTTCCATACTGTACAAAAGTTCTTTGAGGTTCTCAAAGGTTTTTCTCAGAACTGTACATCCAAGCAAAGAACCATTGAGGAATCTTTTAAGAGTATGTAGTTTAGCGTGATGAGTCAGTAAGGGAACTACAGCTGGTTCTGATGTTAATCTTTATTCAAGCTTCTTCAGATAGCTGGACAAACAGACTGTCACTATTCTTTTTTCTTATATAGTTGAGTCTTAGCAGTACTGACCTTGATACATACCAAACTTTCACTGGGAACAAATCTAAGGACTCTGAAAGGACAGAAACAAAACAAAGTTTGGGTTTTTTTTTTAACAACCTGTGTATATTCGCTCATCCATTCATTCCTACATAGAGCCTGACTTTATGGTTCTGCATTACTGGACCTCCTTATTGCCTTCCTTGAGCCTAGTGCTGTGAGGAGATGTGCTGGCTGCTATCATCAGGAGATTTAATCTCAGAATTCGTTTTGCTCTCACCTTACATTGAAGGAGAATTCTGCTGATTATTCAAAATTTCTGCATGATTCAGAGTTTGAGATGTAAACAAGAGTCATTCAGAGTGGTTTGATGTGAAATAGTTAACAGTAGAGAAAATTGTGGAGTCAGATTTCTTTAGAGGTGGTGATTAAAACCAGGGATTACAATGTTTTTACCCAAATATGGCCGCTTTATTTACTATCTAAAACAACCGGTGAACCTACACGTCTTCTGAGTTTTTATATATATTGCTGATAATGGAAAAAAATACATTTTTGGGGGTACTTTTGTGTGCTTTATAACATCCTGCATGTACATCTCCACCATGAGTGTATTTAAAAATATGTTTTTGTTCAAAATCTTAACTCAAAGCTTTTGTAAAACAGTATCTCTGCCGTCATTATGCACATATTCATACCGATGTAAAAGCTTTCTTTAAGGTTACTTTTAGAGGCATTAAACTTTTCAGATTTCAGAGTCAGTAATTTTCTCTGGAACACAGAATTTCACACCAAACCACTCTGAATGACTGTTTACATCTTAATGATTTAATTATGCAAGAAATTTCATGAAATCAGTGGAATTCCCATTTAAGTGGCCAAAACATTTCTGTGCTCACCAGCTAACTTATTGCATAAACTGTAACAGTTTGCGTGGATCATTTTTGATTAAATCTGATGATATTGTTTACTCTGCCATAGTGGTCAGTAGTAACAGGATGTGGTGCTGTTCTCATCAGTTTTAAACACATATAAAGCACATATAATGTAAACTTAATACAAAGTGGAGGCAAGATGAATTCTGAGTATATACAAAATACAAGGTGTGACGTTTTTACTTGCAAAAAGTGGCTAACAGCATGTGTAACCAGTGGGAATATTATGATCTTATACCAGTTGTGGGACTGTGAATGCAGTCTTTAAAGAGTGCAGTGGTTTTTAGATTACAAAGACACAAGCTTCAAGGGAAAACAGTTCAGATTTTTTTATAAATAATAATTTAGCCTATAACATTGTAAAGTTGGCGTTGTGTTGTGAATGAATTACTGTTCATTTGCTAAATAGTTCTGAATATTTTGCCTTATTGTCATAAATGTTCAATAGTTTTTGTTCCTTTCATTACTGTTCTGTAGAAAATGACCATATTGCTCATTTCCCGTAGTGAAATTGCTATGAATGTGATTCAATCTATAGAATAAATAAATGCAATTACAATGCAACAGATACACCCTCTATGTGTCATTTGATCATTCTCTCGCCGTCGCATCTGAGCTTTATCAGAACTAAATAAAACTTGGTGATAAATAAGCCTCCATCAAAGATAAACACAGGAGCCGAGAGTCTGCGCAGTGAAAGTGGAGAAGATTATCATCCAAGTAACCTTCACTGCTGCAGAGTCTGACAGCACTCAATCAGCAGGACATCCTATCTGAACACATAAGTGGTCACTGGAGTGAATATCAAGTATCTGTCTCGAATGTGAGACAAATGTGTGAGTGTGTGTGTGTGTGTGTGTGTGTGTCCTTGAACACAATGTGACCAGATCCGACCAAAATTTTCATCCAAATAAATTAAATCTGTAAATTCGTTCTCTAGTATTAGAGATCTCAAGTGATCATGCCTATAATAGCTATAAGGATTCAACTATGTACACATTAGATACTTAAGGGGGAATTCCACTGATTTTTCAAAATTTCTGCATAATTAAATACCTAAAATGTAAACAAATTCACTCCGAGGTTTGATGTGAAATGCTCAGTTCTAGAGAAGTTTACTGAGTCAGAATTGTTTACAGTGGTGGTGATAGGAACCAGATGCCTGAGGAGTTTAATGCCTTTTAAACCCCCCCCACAGAAAGCTATTAGATGCACCTGTTATGAATACACAAGTACATGCAGGGCAATGTAAGGCAAAATTGTAGGCTACCAAAGAAAACTTCCTTACTACTGTTTTGCCATTACAAACATTACATTTAAAAACTCAGAAGACACATATGGGTTCACAGGTCATTTTGGATAGCAAATAGAATGGCTATATTTATTTTGCATCACCACCACTGTAACGAAACTAAGCTGGTAAGATTCTCTACAATGCATCATTTCATATCAAATCATTCTGACTGACTTTGCTTACATCACAAAGATTTAATTAAGCGGAAAATGTAAAAAAAAACAAAAAACAGGTGGAGTTCCCCTTTTAAGGACACTTTTTATAATTTGATCACGTTCTCTCTCTGCTAAGGTTATTGTGGTGACTTCCATTTCTTTCTCATGACTCAAGTTTCTTTTATTGCGACACAACAGCACTGGTGGTATTTTGATTTGGTACAGCTCTGCTTGTAAGTGCACAGTAACCAAACAATGTAGTAAACAGTAAAGACAATAGTTGCAAAACATAAAGACATTTATACCTCGCATAAAGGTAATGACCTAGGAAATGTAACAGTGTGGCATATTAGTGACAAGTACTAAGCAGGTACTATCTGAAATGTTTGGCAAATACAGTAGAGTGATGTAGTTTGTGCTTTTAAAAGGGACTTCTATTGATTTTTTAAATGTCTGTATAAGATGGTTAAGATGTAAACAGTCATTCAGAGTGGTCTGATGTGAAACACTGTGTTCTAGAGGAAATAACCACACAGTGGTGGTGATAGGAATCAGACGTCTGAAGAGGTTAATGCCTTTAAAAGCTCCCTCTTAGAAAGACAAAAGATAATATTCTGCCTAATGCAGACACTGTTGTGTAGTAGTTCTGAGATAAAGTTTTTAGCCTAAAACATAATAAGGCAAAAATAGTCCTTAAGAAGTCTTATTTGTACAACCACTATTTTGCCATCATTAACATTACATATAAAAACTCAGAACACATGTGTAGGTTCACTGGTTGTTGTGGATGGTAAATAAAATGGTTACATTTGCGCCTCAAAGAAATGCAGAAATTTTGATGGAGTTCCCCCTTAAGTCTCAAAAGGACATGGTGAATAAACTCACACTGAGGCTTTTTCTGTGTGTCAGTAAAAGAGAAGTAGGCCTGTGTCTGGCAGGGAGAATGTGATTTCCTGTGTAGAAGCAAAGGCCTTCAAAGAAAGCACTGTAGAGTGGAACACTGCACCAGGTTGGAGTGCTAGTGAGCTGAATCCTGATAAGAAAGCCTGCCACTAAGCCTCAGCCAGTTGCAGTGCTTGGATATGCAGCAGAACCTTAGTTACAAAACCTTTACAACAAGCCTGACCTCTTGTGGTCATAGTGAAGAATTGCATTTTTTCTGTATGACTGCTACGGTCCACCAGATTTGTGCCACATCCAGAAGTGTAGTTTCACTCACTGTAGAGCTACGTAGTCAGCCTGTTGACATTTATGACTGGCTTATTTCAGGTTGCTTTGAT